GTGAATACACAAACACAGATTAAGCTTCAAGTTTTCATTTGATCCATGCCATCGTAATATTCAAACAATCTCCTCGTTCTCAAATGGCATATAATGAAGCCTGAAACTCAAACGCATAAAAATGTGATGAGAAAACATGGTCTCTGTACCACAGTAGCGTATGAAGCAAGAATAATAAAATAGTTGGTTGTTTTTCTACAGTTATGTGTAAAAGTCGGATGCAAATGAGGCAGAGAACGAGAAAAATGCAAGTTTCAATTTGATTCAGTGATTTTTCTTTGAAATGACTTTTTCTTTTCATGATATCATTCACTTTTCGCTTTTGAATTCCAAGCTGTCCTTTCATGAGAATGTCTTTTGATTCAATTTTATCTTCCGTTGGGATACGCAACACATTTTATTCCGACTCAACATTTTATAAACATTTCTTGTCAAATAAGTCAGTTGAGAACGGTAATGGGACGCTATTAAATTATTACTTTGAAGGGGAAAAAACCCGGCAATAGAACAAGTTTTAACAAAAACCATTTAAAAGATGAAACTTGTTCCAGTGCATATTTGTAGTAAATACGAATAGCTGATTTTTCGTTGGGCAATTATTCTTCCATTTATTTTTATTTTTTTTCATTTGGGTCAGAGTTTTCATCGGCTGGCAAATGCATCTTAGCCGGAGCCAACAACAACATATTACGAATAAATGGAATTTATGCTTGTGCCCAATGCACATTTTTTCGATAGTTATGAAAAGGCGTATTTTATAATTATTGTTTGGCGCACTAAATAACTTTCAATGGAGAATAGAACTGAGGATTGATGACTTGGTACACAAAGTCACAGGTGTATACGTGATGCTTTTGTTGCTGAAAACTAATATTGCTTTATTTTCGAACGTATAAACGTGAGATAAACGACGGCAAAATGGAACGATAGCACGCAGTGCATGTGGGTGCCTTTGCTTGCTTCATGTTTTTTCTTTTTGCTTGAATAGAGAAATGTGAAATGATGGCAAATAGCATGGAAATTATGTCGGGAGACAACTCTCGGTCTTGCAGAGTAGCACATTGCACGTTTATATTACCCTTTGGATGAAAATGAAATATTTGCAACGAGGCCCCTTTATGTTCGTCTCACGAGGAGTTGTGTCATGTACATTGCTGAATGTTTGGCAGATGGTTTTCTACCACAACTTTTAACTTTTGAAAGTGATAGGGAAATTATTCTGTGCACATTTTTTGAACGACTCAAATGATAAAAGGGTTGATTTTTATCGTTCGGAGTTATTTAAGACGAAAACAATAGGTGAACCAAGCTGCTTGCATCAATTTCTGTAATGCTTTTTAACAACCATTGAAAATTAAATCGAGCATCATAATTTATTTATTGAAAAAAACTTTGAATGAATATGTATTGGGAGTTGAGTTTTTTATGTGGAAGTTTATGAATGAAAATCACAACTGAGAGAGGAAAACTTATTTATTAAGTTATCATGCATTCCTTTTGAATAGCTGAATCGTTGAGATAAAATTTTATCAATAATATTTCAACATTTTGCAAAAAAAGCATAAATCATAAACATATTATACCCGATTGCGTGGAAATCAATGTTTATATTTTGTAAATCAACTCTTTCCTTTCAACGATTCAGATGTTCCTTCACTTTTTAGTTAGAGATAAGAAAATGTAAGTGGCCTCTTTTTTCCCAATTATGTTATTCTTGATGGAACAGAAGTAAACAAAATAAATAATGAAGCAAATCAATACTTTTCATGAAATGTATTTTGCGGAATTTTTTTACAGAAAATTTCAATTGAAGCTTCATTTACAATGTATGCTATACGGACTGTAGATTAAATTATAAATCATACCAAGTGAAATTATTGCTACCTCTGTTTTACAAGACGGTCACCATTATGTTTGCCATTTACTAGTGCCATGTATCATGGAATCAAAAGCAAGAACAATTAATGTTTCTCCGGCAATAATTTGTTGTTTAGATTTATTATCCGATAACAATGTGAGTAGCAATTCATTGATGTGACAACGACAATATAAATCATAGAGGAATTTTATATTATCACCCAATTGCTCTTCATTCACGACATATAATGGTACATTATTTGCTTCAAAATCAAGGTTTGTCGCGTTTATCCGACTATACGATATGTGTACCATAATGTAGGAGAATAATAATGATACCCTTATAAGGCTTGGATTATGTGACAAACGCCTCTGGCGTCTTATAGAAAAATTACAATGTCTAGCTAAACTCAGACACAAAGTATGTGCGAGCTTAATAATTATTCTCGATTTTCTTCAAAATGTACCAAAATTATATGGCGGAAAATTCGTATGATAAAAAAAACATTTTGCTTTTACTGCATCCTTGAAAGAATCAAATTCATTCGACGACATTCGTCCTCTTAGGCATGTTTTTGAGTCTTACTCAATTAAAATGGCGTAGGCTCTAAATATGTATATGGCCCAATGGCAAAGTGTTTAAGTATTAATATGAGAACTGAATAATGACATGTATTTGTGGTAATTTTCCGTCGGGAGTATTCAAAATAGAATTTAATATCGGCAATAACGGTTATTAGGATAAATGTATATGAATGCAAAGGGTCGGATCTCCGCAAAGGTTGGTAAACTAATTTACACGGTGAAACCTCTATTGACGTTTAATGGGTTTAATGTGAATAATGTCTCTCAGTCATAAATAGACCCTATTCTCGTAATATGTGTATATTCTTGTAATATGTGTAGTGAAATGTGCATGCCATAAAGTATTGGTTGTCAAGTGAACTCATCTATATTGAATACAATATGACGTAATTCAATCAATATGGAAATTAATGTTACACAAATAGTATTTAAAAAACGGAGATATAAACTTTGCTCCACAACAAGTAAAAACACCGCCAAACATATGCAATACGCTAATTTTTCCATGATATAAATGCAAATTCATGAAATTAGGTGCGAAATGTACACAAATTACATTCAATGTTTCAAACTGTGACTTTTTTTAGGAGTTTCTGTTACACATTATGCTATTTAACTTTGTATTTTAAAGTAAAAAGTTGTGACATCGACACCCGGAACATGCGAACAAAGATATTGTTTGTTATCACATTCTCGCGTGATTCTTCTTTAAATATGCAGAAGCGAGCGTTTTCAGTTCAGTGCACACATTGTCATCAATAATGTGAAAAGTTTTCTTTAAAATAAAATGCATAGGGCACAAGAGATAGTGGCATCAACGTCAAGTCGAATCATGTTGATGGAGAACGCTTCTTGACATCATATGTGGCACATTCATGCAAAAAAAAAAACCGAACTATAATATCGAGTGTATTTCACATAGCCAAGCGGAATTTATAAAATCACAGTTTGTGTACGAAGCTATAAGACACACTCAAATACGTATATGAAGATATAAAAGTCAAGACCTGTAATCCGTATAATGATAAAACGTTATTTGTTGGAGTGTTTGCACACTAGTAACATGAAAATTGTGGTTACCATATCTTGTGCTAAGTAATAGTTGTAGACAGAGCATGCTGTCGCAGCACAATGGGGATTTCAAATGAGCTCTATTTGCTTCAATTTCCATATTTTCACGCTTTTCAAGGAGAAGATTCATCGTTCGTATGATAAATACCATGCTATTTACATACGCTCAATAGCAACTCCAATAATAATTACTGTCATTCTCCAGAGATAGGAGAACACTAACACTTGATGGGAGTAGCTTAAATTGTATTATTTGTATTCACATTTCGTGAGCTTTATGCATGTGGATGTTGTTATTTGTCCCGATATTTCTATTGCTGGTTGTGTAATTTCATTTTCCAACTGCACATAGTTACACAACATGCACATACACTGTTTATTATACATTGACATGCCAATCATTGCCGGAAAAACTAACTTCTCTTGTTACAACCGGTGCAAACAATGGTTTCAATTTAGACAATGCAGCACAAATGCATCACATTTCAATTTCAAATATTATTTTGGTCAATTTTACGTCGATGAGAATTTGATATTTGGCCGAATTTCGATCGAATAGTTTGGACCATTTTAGTCAAAGGGTCAAAGGGATTTTTAGTTCGTTAAGTAATGAAGTATTGCCACAAACTATATGCCATTTTTCTTCATAAATCGATAAATTCGATTTGTTTTTCATTGCTATTAAACGATGTTTCGTATTAAACATGCACAAATAACATGTATTTTCATAAAAATAACATCTTTATAAAGATCAATGCATCGGGCGATTTTCTAAGATTTTTGTTGTTATTTACAGCAAAATAGTATAATATTTACAGCATGCGTACACATTCCATTGCGTTTTCAATTCTATAAAAATACGAATACAGACAGACAGACAGATATAATAGCAATAGTTAAATTGAATATTTGATGGTATGTTGGAGCGGTCATTGGTCTACATCTGTCTAGAAATGCAACAAATATATGTTCATTATAAATATTATAGTTATGTGAACGAAGTAATCACGTGAACAATATAAAATTGCATTTGTTGCTCTTCCAATTCAATTTACGCATTTAAACGGTTTTGATTATGCAAAGTGAGATGTTTGTAGTACATGTGATACGTGCCTCCATATCTAATTATATAGCGTCAATCAGTACACCAAATGATTGCATTTATGCAATTGCGTCGTCGCCAAACTTTTATGATACTTAACAACGTGACTTGATTTCTTATGCATGGACACAGTGCAAAAAAGCTCGATACATCGGAAGAATTTCTTCGCGACTACAAAGGAAATTAATTTTCGCCATAAAATAGTAGTTTATTGGCAAATGCTGTAAACAATTTTCACCACACCGTTACAGTTTGTTTTTTTCGCTTGCATATTTTATGGGTTGTATTTCATATGAATTCAGAACTTTCACAATCTTTTCTTTTCCCAAATGTTTTTTCACCACATACTATTAGTAAAATCAAGATATCATCAATTTTTACTCACTTTTGCTATGTAACTTTTGACGGTTTCCGTCTGTTTTCAATGCTTCCGAAAGTAAAATTAATTCATCCAGTTGCGGTTTCTTATATTCCAATTCACGAACAACGGTCTATAAAAATATACCGTTTTATAAAGAAAAATGAATTTTTTTGATTTTATCTTTATCGTTTTTCACCTTTTGTTTATTAATCGCTTCTTGAATGGCATCAATATCGCAAACATCTACGTGATAGTTTTTGGCCATGTTTTGATCCAAATTTAACCAATCGGTGATCTGTCGAGGAAAACAAAATTGCTGATTATTTTCAATATTCTTCCGCATTTTCCGCATTTTAAACATACTTGACTAATGGCTTTGTCCAAGTTTATGGGTGTTGCTGATGATGACGTTGAAGAATTGTTTGGTGAGCGCAATTTTGAACGTCCTTTGGCTGAAAACGACCCTGGTACATAACTCGATTCGGATGAATTTTCTATAGAAAATAAATTACGAGAAAATTTCGTGTAAACAAACACAAAGCCAATACAAATTCGCTAAAATGTAACATATTTATTGCAAAAGTTAAATTTTGTTTGTTATTTCATTCAGAAAAACATTGTCGAGACGGTTTCTTTTCTAAATTGAAAAAAATCGACAATTTCCACAAAGGAATTCGGGCCCATTAATCAAATCGAATGATTCGAATAATTCGCCTAACTTAGTGTGAAAACAGAACAAAATGGAATCCAAAACGAAAAAAAAATACACGGCCAAAAAAAATGTGAAGAGAATTCTGCAAACACAACCGAATCACAAAAACGAACGAGTCTCTCGGGTGAATTAACGTGACTTTAGCCCAATAGATTTACGCGGTCAATGTTTGGTGGGCTTTCATGGCCGCATCGAAATAACCACAATGTGTCTGCGTTCATCAGAAAACATTTTCATTATGCCATTCATTGTGTGTGATTCCGTTTCGATTCTTTATTTTAGTATTTCCACGTTTTTTTTTTGACATAATAAGCTCATAATGTTTAAATGGAATGGAATTAATGTGTGCGAGTGTGTGCAAACTGTGACCGTGTATATTTGGCCTCAGCATGTAGCATGGCAGATAAGTAGCTTGAACATAGCTTAAGTATCGACGGTGTCATTATAACGCCATAAATATATGACATAGAAGCGCATTAGGAAAAACCTTTTTTCCTTCTTCCATAACATTTTATGCTTGTTTGCGTTGATTGTGTGTTTTCCTCGTTTTGCCATCACACTTTGATTTCATGACGCGATAGAACGGAACCAAACTAACTTGTAGTACCAATGCTTCTTACCGCTTCGTATTTAATACTATAGGCATTAACTTCATCACACAATTAATCGATTCGTAGTTTAATGAAACGATCCTATCGCCACGATTAAATAAGTTCTTTTTGCACCGCAATGGCAAACGGCTATTATAAATACATTTATTTACATCAAAATGCAAATTTCCTTCAAATATTTTGAATTCTTACCTTTCTTTTCTGCGTATGCTTCATTTTGTACTTTTTTGTCAACAGGTTTGCCATCTGGATATTTCCGGTCGTCGTTATCGTATAGTCCGCTGTTGTTGTTCAGTTTTTTCAGAGATTGAACAACAGAGTCGTAATGATATGATAGATCGCTTCGAGTTCGGTCAAGAGTTTCCATAGTTGCCTTCGCCTTGGGACTTGGTGTAGCTTGTGATGCAAATTTCCACTGAATTTTGAGTTCCGTTTGTAAACTCTGCATGTTTCGACACACAATCAAATATGTTTATTTAAAACTTTAGTTTAATGTATTCAAAGTCGATAAACCAAAAGATAGATATCAAAAATTGCAAAGTATTTCGAACTTTGGCGTCGGTGTATTAAATGCACTTGTAAATTATGTTAATTTTAACTTTAGCACTTAAACTCACTTCGATGTGTTCCAATTTTAAACAAATTTTTACTCTCAATTCATCAAGTTTGTGATGCGAAACACACAGGCGCATGCATACACCTTTGGATGCAGTTTAAGAATAAAATTAATCAAAGATTCGCTTTGATTGCAAATTAGTTCGCTTTTACGAACGTGCCTATGTTTTAATTCACTTATGGACATCGGCAAAAAAAAGAGAATTGAAATGAATTTTACTTGAAAACGAAAACTGACTGACACAAATAAACAGCCAGCAAATGCCAGATGCGCACGAGATGAATTGCAATGGAAAATGAAAATGAAACCGAAAATGAACTATGTTTGTCTATAATTAGATGCCGGTTTTGAACTGAAGCGATCACTTGAACTGAAAAACCGATTCTGATTTGATTTTATCTGCTTGCAGAAGAAAAGAGGGACCGATCTGAAAGTCGTCTGAACTCTAACACATTCGAACGAATACTGACTCTTACTGATGCAAGATCGCCAAACATGATCTGATATTCTTTGAACGGACAGAAAGTATTTTTATAAACGATTGCTTTTTTTCGCTTTCGTCTTACTTTTTTCTTTGTTTGTTACTTTTTTGGACAGACACTCAATGCAGTTAAACTACAAAAACGCCCAACGAGTGAATATTTGAGTTAAAAACCTATTAAGTTAATGCACTACGCCACATTTAAGAACGGGATTGACATCATCTGTGTATGAACACTGTATACAGCGAGCGGCTTATCGAATCAACAATGATCGAAAGAAAACAGCCGGCTCATGTTGCCACATACGTGATATTGTACATTATGATTTTCAGAATGTGTATCTGCTAAAAGGTTTGATTGTTTGTGCAGGCTCCAAATTTGTTCATCAAATGTATAACTATACAAGTCTTAATCTTGATTAATTTAATATTCTCGCACGACATAAATATTTCAATTGAGATTATATTCATTTTGTTACAACCAAATACCAAACGACGATAGAATCCGAAAATATACTGCAATACTATTGATTCTATCTATTTTTAGATAAAACTAATTTTATAAAAAACAATCGCTTTGCTCCAATTTCTTTATTTTTACTATAAATTTTATGGAATAGTTTACCTGAATGTCAGCTAGTCTTTCATTAAGTTGGAGTTCATTGTCTTCATCGACGGGATTGTCGAAAAGTGTCCAGGCTTTGTTACAAACAACCTTTGCACCTTCATCGATATCGTTTGCGATTATTTTTTGAGCGTCGACTGCTTTACTTTCATAATTTTCCAGCTCTTGACTGAGATCTTTGCCGTCTTTCTTTTGATATTCGCTTGGTAATCTAATTGAAAATATGTACGTTGGATGTGATCTCTTGCAAAATTTGTAAATGTATAAGAAATAACTCACCTTGAATGTTGAACTTCTCGGAATTTCTCTCTGAGGATCGACTGGATTTCCATGACAGTATTCGCGAGCTGAGGAGTATTGCCATGTGTTTCCAAAACTAATGAGTCGCCTTGTGAAATGAGTGTGGCTGCATCGGGTGCGACGAGCAATTTCAAATGTTCAATTGTTTCCGGATCGGCCGATGCAGCAATCGATGCCTCAATTTTTTCTCGAGTTTCTTGCAGTTTTTTTATCATATAACGTGCAGTCTTCTCAAATTCATAGACTCTTTGCGACAAAGAAGTAGAATTTGACATTTTTTTCACCGCAAACGTTTTTGATGTGGTTGTTATTGTCGTTGTTGTAACGGTTTTACTCTTTGTGTTCGTCTGTGATTGATCGACATTGACATCTTCGTTAGTGGCATGTTCCAATTTTCGTTCGTGCATAACAGCCGGTTTCCCAGCATTCGGCTTTGCAATTCGATCCTTTAGAAAAGAAAATAATAAAGAAAGCATTTAGTTCGGAAAACCGAAAATATCATTGAGTTGACTAGATTCAGAAATCAATATGCTCAATGAGTTGCAACATTCAGTACGCTTTTGAATAGTGAAAACACTCATTTCATGCTGAATGTACTTTTATTTATCATTTCAGGGGATCATCATGTGATTTTGAATTGAATATCATGCACGCATACAACTTTTAGACAAATTACGCATCACTAAAATGCTTTTGGAATTTTGGTTTGTTTTTGTTTTTGAGGGTTTATATAAGTACCGTATCTCGGTTGAAATTTTCTGTCGTTTGTTCACCTAAGTGATGGCTATCATCGTCATCAGAAAACGTTAATGGCTCGTCAAATACCTCTTTATCTGCGCTGTAAAAACTGTCACGATCCGAAGTCGCACTTAAAATATCTTTTAAGGTTGGAGTGAGTTTTTTACGCTGTGGTTTAGATGGACTATTACTTATGTTATCAAATTGTTCAGATTCTTTGAGCAAATTGCGTTCATTTCTCAATGCACCTCGGCTTTTATGGTATGACATTTGTTTCATCGGTGCTGGTTCACCAGTTTCGTATTCGTTCTCATCGCTATCATCGTCTTCATCATCGCTATCGTGTCTATCGCCCAAGTTCGGTGTGGAACAGGGTGTTTCGCTATCAGATGGTTCTGAAGTTGCATCAATTATATGCACTGTTTCAACGCAACAGCTCGGCTCTAAGTAACTAACTGATTCTAATATGCTGCACGTATTTAAAACTTGTCCAATATTCTGAATTTGACCGTTTTCATTCGATTTGTATGTATTAACTACTCTTTTTGGTGATGATAAATTAGTTTCGCGAATTTCAACAATGGACACTTTTGATTCATTATTGTCAATGCTATCTTGTTGTGTTAATAAATTTTCTGAATCGCTGTTAACTTGAGAGAAAAGTGCACTTGTCTCGGCCAGATGAAATGTCTTTGGTAAAAGATCGGGCATTACGTTGGATTTTTTGTTCGAATCCTTCACAATATTGTCATTTTGTATAGTTGTTGCAGATGTTGAGGGTGTTCTTGAACGTCTTTGGCGAACAGTATCGCTAACGACAACAATTTCCATGTCATCGACATCACCTCCATTGTGTGGAACCATAAGTCGTGACGAAAGAGCATCCTGTGAAGGTTTGGAATCATGTTTTGTTTTTGGTTTTTTGTTTGGTTTTGCGTTTCTTATTGGCATAAGAAGTGATAGATAGAGTGGATGGAGTTCTATACAAGGCCAGACGAACACTTAGAATTCGTGGGTGTATGTGATTACATATGAACAGTGTCACGGAAATTGGAGTGATGCGTGTAATTGTTGTGTGGAAGACAAATAATATAGTTTGGGACATGAAACAAGAAGACACGAGGACGGGTTCATAATTTACACGGTGACATACATTTCAAAAAAAAATATATATTTATTATATTTAAAAAGAACCAAAGCATTCACGTTGAGTTTTTTTTTCTCGTTTTTTATGCAGATAAGAAACATTAAAATGAACTATGTGTTTTCGTTCAATGTTTCTTATCCAAAGCGCGATTTTATTGTGCACAAACACGAGTTTGTCTACAACGTAAGCAAGAGTTTAACATATCATAACACAAGTTAAAAAAAAAAATCTTGTTGATGTTCAAAGTCATACAATATCAACGTTACGAAATATATTTTGTTGTTATTCTTGTTTTAAAAAATGCATTATTGGGTGTTTGTTATTGGGCAGATTATTATTGAACAGATTATTTTTCTGCGATTTAAAATGCATGATTGAGTTCTTGTTTTCATGTCGTGTTAAGTTACTGCTATGAACATTTGTCATATTTGTATGCCATAATGAAATGAATGGATGACATTCACCATGAAATAAATACGATGTCGTGCATATTGAATTTTATAAATATTTACTATGTTTTCAGATGATTTATGAACATTTTCCACCATGATAGTTTATGAGTGAGATAGTTATATCGAATTTTAAACCGCTCCCCAATGAGAATCCCATAGAGATTAATAAAAATAATAATAACAGAAATGATGAATGACCGACCTGTTTCCATTATATTTCCCATAGATAGAGTGAATAAGAATGAATAGCCAGGTTTTTGTAATGAAAGGATAATTTACCTGCACAATCGCAGTGACTTGTTGATGCAGTTTTTGAATTTCGATGCTCGATACGTTCATCTGTTTCAAATCAGTCTCAATAGATCTGCAGACAGAGAATTTTATTCAATTAATTTCTGACAATGTCGTTTCGAAAATGGAATTTCAATTTTCTTACCTTAATGTATCTATCGATATATTGTCCAAGTTTTGAAGAGTTGATTTAATCTCAAGCAAATCTTTTCCCACATCGTTCACCGTGATTCGTATGAATTGTTGTGACAGACTGTCAATTTTGGCATGCAAATCCTCTAAATATGTTGGATCACATATTTCACAATATTCCGAGTACATAACATTGCACTTCTCGAGCATTGCACCGACCTGGTCATTGGATAGCATTAGCACTGGATCATTGCCGAGTAATTTGTTTCGTTGCTCTGGCATTATTTCGTCGTTGAGTTCAGTGAAAAAGTTTAACCAGCGTTCAATGGCGGTTATATTTGATTGAATTGCCGTCGTAATTCGAAGCAATTTTTCCAAATTGACTTTCGATTGGGTAACATGTTCGCCCAACGAGTTGTACAGATGCTTGAGCGCATCAATGCTCAGTGTCAATTTTTTAGCGTACTTTGTTGTCTTATCGTCACAAATTTTCCGTCCAGTCTTGATTACATTTTCGATTTCAGTTTTAACTTCGGATAACGTTCGATACATTTTCAAACAGTGTTTGTATTGATCTTGAACATTGTTCGGTGCAGCTGACGAAATGTCCAAAATACACGAACTACGTTCGACCGCACGTAATTCGCCCATGGCTCGATTCAATCGACCCTCAAAGTTTGCTTGAGGCGAAGTGAATGCATTCAATTTGGTTTGGCTCGTTTGAAATCGTTCTTCCAGAAGATTGACCTGTTCTCGCATTCGATGAGCAGCCTCTGTTTTACCCTTTTGCTGGTACAGTTCCACTTCCTCTTTCATTTCGTTCAACACTTTTTCATTTGCATCAAATTCTTCAACCAATCGCTATTACCACATTTAGAAGTAAACATAAAAGAAACATCCAGAGGAATGGAAAAGGTAACGAAAAATGAGTATACTACATGATACATGATTATTGGAAAATTTACATCCAAAACAAATCTTCCGTTATTGTTACTCCATTTGAATGAAACCGCATCGGTTCAAAAATCATTTGGATTGAAAATTAACGATCAAATTGAGTATTACATGGGAAAAATCACAATTTTCATCACATTTTGTACAATTTTAAGCGACTTTTCCCCGAATAACAGAAGCATCATTTGGATATTTAAGTTTATTGAGGCCAACAGTGGTTAATTTTGATATTAATTGTATAACATTTAAAGCGGAAGAGTTGTAGAACCATGCTGTTTTATTAGTTAAATGAATGCCGGTGCTAACCTGACTAAAGTCATGCGGAAGATCATCTGCAGTCGTATCATTATCTAGATGCTCGTTCAGTAGCTCATCAACATGATGGATCCAATGTTGAAAACTTTGTACGCGACTTTCCGACGATTGAGCTTCTGAAACTGCTTTTTCCAACATAGTTTGCCGTTGTTTTCCCTTCATTTTTTTACCATTCAAATCCATATAAAACATAAAGTGCGATTTTATACAGAAGCAAAGCAAGCACAAAGATAGTCATGAATTTTGATGACATTCGCATATAATTTTAAAAAAAGAAACATGCAAAAATCAAGAAGTAAAATATCAACAAAATAATGAAATGACGAATAATGATTAATGAATGGTGAAAAGCATGCATAAAATTACAATTATTAATTAGCCATTAATAGGATAAATTAAAGAGAAGAAGCGAATCTCACCTTGTGCTGCAATAAGTTCCAACGATCTGTCACCGATTTCACGTCAGCCATAATACTCGCGGCCATACACTCGTGTTCAATCAGTTCGTTGCCCAGTTCTTTAATTTTGTCTAATCGCTCTTCAGAATGATTTCGAATGCTATTCTCTAAATCCTGTATTTTAACAAAATCAATTAAATCCAATTACAAATTCGTTAAACAAAATAAGAGAAACCTACGTCGAGCTCCTCATATATTTCTTCGGCGTCTGCTGCGTTGTCGGGTCCTTTGCGTAAGCATTTTTCTAACTTATCCATATAGCCCGATTCGGATACGATTAACGTCTTTAGTTCGCCTAGTTGACTGGAGATGTGCTCCAGCAATGCAGTTCGATTATACACTAACGTCGTTACTTCATTCCATTTCGCATTTAATTTGGTAAAATGTCTGGCCAGCGTAGAATATTTACACTTGCAATTCGGTTGATTTAATTGTTCATCGATGCGTAATAGCATTTCACTGCCAACACCCAACAATTCACGAAATTCCACTGTTTTCTGTTCACAAGTCTCTTTAAGCGATTGGAACTTGTTTCGAATTTGAAATAGTTGATTTGATGTTTCGATTTCCGCGTTTGTGGTAGTTGGAGTCGATTTTTCTAATTCGTTAAGCCATAGCTCAACTTCGTTGATTCTTTGATAAATATTTGAAGTTTGTTCAAGAGCTTGTTTCAAAGCTTTGTTATTTGATTGAAATGTTTTTTTAACACTGGTATAAAGATCATTTACCGATTGAACTTGGCTCAACAAAATTGCTTTATGTTGTCCATCAGTCGAATCACGTACAATAACTTCACTGAAATTCTTGACGCTAATTATATCAATTTCAACTTTTTTAATTTCCATTCCAATTGATTCGTACGATTTCTCTTGTTGTTTTAATTCGTCCTCTTCGCCAAGCATAAACAAATCGTCGGCAAGCGATTTTTCGAGATTTGACAGAAATTTCACGACCTGCTCAAATTCAGTTGTGAAATGAATAAGATTCTCGATTGCGGTTGTTTGCTTCAAAATACGATCTTCGATTGTTGATTCCAACTTTTCCCATTTCTCCGATTCAATTGGATTGTTTGCAATTTCATCATTCAATTTCACTTCGGAAATGATCGATTTCAATTCATTCAAATGATGTAAATTGCCTCTCATTTTATCCAAATTAGATCCCACCACACAGGTGGCCATCGAGTCAACATAAACGGCTTCAAACTTTTCCAATTCCGGTGAAATTGTGGTTTCCTGTGATTCGGTTTGCTCATCAATCGGTTCTGTATCGAAATTATCGTGCAGAAGTCGTTTTATTGCACTTTCAATGTCATTCCAGCTGTGATGAAATTGATCAAAGTCACTTTTCCATTCGCTTAAATCACTCTTGTCGTCGGTGTTACGGTAAAAATTTTGAGCCTCATTAATGTCACTACTCAACGACTGCATGTATGCCAATCGATTTTCGAGCTCTTCTTGGGTCGAAGCATTTAGATTAGCATACTGTTTGAACCAATCTTGACAATCGGCCAGAACTAGTTTCAGACCGGTCAGATTTCGGCAAAACTTTTCTTTAATCGATGCTTTTTCGTTCAGTTCGAGCATGTGTTCTATGCGAAAATTGAGTTCATCATACTTTGTGCCAATGTTACTTATTTCGGTTGCTTCTTCAGGTAAATCATGACCATCATCTTCGACGCAATCGTTCAACAGGGTTTTTATATTTGGATACTCGTTAATCTTCACTTTCAGTTGATTTTGTAATTTTTCCAAAGCACTGCCTTGTTCTTTTAACGTTGGAATTTCTTTGAGTCCGATCAATTGTTGTTCACCTGTAATAAAATGTACACCATATGAAATGTTTAAAAATCAAAACATGAAAAAAGGAAAATAGCAGGTAAATATGGCATACCTGATGTAACAAAAGCGTCCATTTCTTTCAAACATGCATTTAATTGTTGATACTTTTCCGATTTTTGGAGTTTTCGTTTTTTATTTGACTGTGGCGAATCATCCAATTCATTGTCACTTTGATTAAATTCGTCCGATTCGCCCAATTCCATTGGACTACGGCGGTCCACGCTGTTGAGTTTAGCTTGAAAATCAGTCCAATTGGTCGGCAGCTTAACATTGTCCAAAATGTCAACGTTAAAATCGAAACCCATTCCCTCGATGCGTTGCTGTTGAACGTCAACGATTTCTTTTAGAGCTTCGCAACGATCCAGGACATTTTCCAATTTCTCCAACAGTTTCTCACTTGCCGGTTGCAATCCTTGTGCAATTTCCTCTAATCGATTCAAACTGTCATACAATACATTCAAATCCATTGCACAAAATCGCAGGTTTTGCATTCGTTCCATAACACTGCCAATTGCACTCACATCTTGCGATTCCATTTGTTTCAAATCATTTTCCCGCACATTAATCCATTCGTTCATTATTACAAATTTTCGGTTAATCAGTTTCCAATTCCAATGGGCATCTTGTAGCTTCTGAAAACGATTCTTTGTCCATGTCACCACATGCGTCCATCTTTCGCCCAGCGCTGCCAATCGATCTTCCAAATCATTGAATGAATCATCATTTACAATGACAACCAAGTTACTTAAATCATCCACAAGCACTTTCTGTTCGTTTAATGATGCTTCCAATTCTTTGTGTTCCTTGATTTGGCGCGGCATTGCATCTGGCTTCGGATCAATTTCTGGCATCCGTGATATACGATCTTCGGAATTCGTTAGTAGGACACGTAATTCTTCGATTTTTTGCATTTGCACTTGGGCCAAACAAGCATGAACGCGTGATTGAACATCAAGAGCCGAAACTCGCAACAGTTCCCAGCGTTCATTCAGCAGTAACATTTGTTGTTTGATTTCACTTTGATCTTCAGCCGTTAAGCCGGTAGTGATCATGGGTTCTGATAGCAAACGAGCACCTTCCTCTAAAGCACCACCCACATATTCCTGATATTCAGACAATTTTATCATAAATTCTTCGTGAGCCTGAAAATGTGCCTTTGCTTCGGATAATTCTTTTATTTCAGGCAACGGTTTGGATAACACTTCTTCCGCTTCTAACAAAAGCGATAACACAATTTCAATTGCATTTTGGTATCCGCCTATTTCCACCGAGACGTTTGTTGCTGTTGAAACTGGTCGCGAATGTGATTCGATGAATGTTTGGAAATTATTGGTTTTGTTATTTTCGTCATCAACGTCGAGCGTTTCATTGTCAGCACCCATCAAATTTATAGACTCGTTTTTGATAATCGTAAAAGTCGAGCTACGTTTTACGGGGAAATTGGTTATATCTTCGATCGACTTGGCAAGTGAAACTTCGTCTAAATCGGTTAAATTGATTTCGTGTGATGGTTCAGTGTGAGTCTTGGTTTGAGTATCGCTTGAAAATTGCTTTGACGTGCTTGGCTGTGAAGAATCATCGCTAGTCGGCGAATTTATTTCCTCTGTACTGCCTTCAAAGTGTTGATCAAGCATTTGTATACTGGCTGCATTTGAGAGTCGTGACGTTCGAATCGATTCAATTGCTTTGTATAAACACATGACATACATCAGAATCGATTTCTTATCCGGTTTGTTTGTGTTCACATCCTCTGGATCGAGCAAAGAGTCGATTTGTAGATAACGTGTGGCCAAATCGAATGCCAAACGAAGTCTGAAAAATTTGAATTGAATTACAGATAAAGTCGTTTCTCATTCATATAAACCAAAGTTTACCTTGCAATCGGATGTTGCTTAATGGCCCATTCCAAATCAAAATCAATTCCAAAATCATGTAAAATGTATAAAAATGCTAAACCACTCGACCAGCTCGTTGTAAAATCGTTGACTTTCACCTGATATTTGTCAGTGAATTGACGAACCCATCGTAACAAATTCTTCTCCAAGCCGCTAGCCGTTTCGGAATTTAACAATTTTTGTCCATCGAAGCACAGAGCAATCATCGATATTAATCCGAGTGTTAACTTTGGGTTTCCGCCAACAATGTCTTCGCTGGATATATTTAGAAGTTTCACTCCATTTTCGTTCAGTACTTGGAGCACTTTATTCACATTGTTGATATGATGTACTCGCATACGACCTTTTTCACGTTTCTAAAAAAATCGGAAAAAATAAATTAAAATTGACATTTTTCTCTATGAATAAGAATTTAAAAAAGGCACACTTACGTATTTTTTGTTTGTGAGTATTTCAAGTAATGATAGTAATTTATGTCCATCTCGCAAATCCTCGAATAGATCGGTAACCAAAGGTGCTTCCGCTTTTGAAAGTTGAGAATTTATCCATTTCGTGAAAGTTTTTTTCTGAACATCTTGTCGCTCATCTGTTTGTAGAAGGAAAGGCAAAGAATGTTAAAAACAACGTTTTATTAAACTGACAAATATTGACTGTTCTAGATTCAATGTGATCTATTTTATCAGCAAAATGTTTTGAAATTCACTAAATATTTGATTCAAGTTTAAAAAAAGTGAAAAAAATATCTCAAAGGGCTGTTACGTTGAACAACGTTCTTGAAACTATCTTATCTTTATAACAATGGGAGCGTGAAGTTAACTAACAACGTGAAGACCAAACAAAAAAAAGAGTTATATACGTAGGTTATAAATGTCACAAATCTGAAGTAAACAAAAGAATGCCGAACGCACGGAAACCGCATTTGGTATGCACTTTTAATAAACGTGATAAGAAAATCATGAATAAGACATGAATTGATTGCTACGCACGCATGTTATGAGATGCGTTATTTTCACTTTATTACATTACTGGCACTGATTTCCCTCGTTTCGCTCAATAAAAAAACAAAGCTATTTAATTATGGGAATAAAATACTGTTTGCCAGTTCAAATCATTTCTGATCGGTTGTTGGATCAATAATAAATGATTGAAACGGTAAATACCAAACGAGATCGAGTTGTACATTTTCTGTCCAAAAATAGTAATCAATTGATGGCCTGTCTTCTCTGATGTACATGTACAAATTTCAATTTGTTGATATTCAATAACAATCGAAGATTTATACACTACGTTCTATATATGCTATCTATAGCACTGAACAGACAATTGGCGAAAGGAAACGAAAAAGAAAAACCAACAGAAATTATCGGCAATTGTGTATAGCTGAAAATGCGTGAAGAAGCAAAGTTGTTTACATTGAAATTATGCGACAGAAAAAAAATGCACATCCAATAATAACCAAACGCTGATTACTATTTTCGTCTCGTCGCGCTGTATACAATGTGTACATTAGTTTACTAGACTGGAAATTAAAATCATTGGCAAGCACTTATGGTGCGTAGAATGTTCAATAAATTTCTCTGAAAATCTTTCTCGTTTACTGATTCAAAAAAACAAAAAAAAATATATATGGGCAACGTCACCAAAAACAATAGTCATTCGTGAATATTCAATATTCAGTGGAAATATTCAATTTCTCATGAGTGGCGTACAAGGCATTGTCATTAATTGTAAATGCTTCCCATACATTTCAATTGCCGGCAACTGAAACATTTATTAATTTATTACACTGTTCACTTCTTTTGCTTCCTTTTTTCTTGTTTGAATTCAAAATTTCAATTGGTCAGAAATACATTAAACTATACGACCGGCAAACGAGCGTCAACTAACGTTCGTAAATTAAAACAAAACGTTTCATGTGTTGGTGCATGCAATATTTGTATATGACTCATTTATTTATGATGCTACAGATGAACGAATACTGAGATATTTTACACCCATTTTTATCACTTCACATTGCATTAGTGCTGTTATGCTGTTTGAAATTCGTGAAGATTTGTGATCGACATTTCATCAAATGAAATTGAGTTAGAAGGAATTTACGGATTTTCTCATATCTCTCTCTCGTCTTAACACCAACAATTTATGTTAATTGATGTAGGAAATGTTTCTCGCGGTCTTCAACCTACGAAAGAATTTTGTTTTAGGGTCAAAGGTACACCGACGTGTATGCACTGCATTATAGCTTCTGATACGGGCCTAAATTAGTGAAATGCATTGCAGCTTGAATGCTGTAATTATGAAATAACATAATTGATGATAATAATCGTACTTCGTTGTCGATTTAACTTGTTTCCACGCTGCAAGTGTGCAAATGCACCGCATGAAAAACACTTGCAACGAAGAATATTAGTCGGTTGCAACAGCAGTAGCTATCATTTTATTTGGCTTAATTGACTGGAAATGTATCTTTTGCCTTTTTCATGTGAATCTTTGGTTTTTATACATATTTAAATTAACACATGCGATGACTTTGGTAATTTACGCAGTGTCAATGTAACGATGTCTGATACAATTTTAATCAAAATTTTACATCAAATGGTAAGCATATATGAGCATTTTACGGCCAACCAAACTTGTATTTCTATAGGAGAATCCATTTTCTTTGAATATCACATTTATATATATACTTTCAACCATTTGCAGCAAATATGAACGGTGTCGCTTTGACGATTTAAAACCACGTTTCGTCAACGATTTAAATGTAAATTCTTGAATAGACACCGCAATTACTACATACAATAAAATCAATTTTACTACAAAAAACGAGTAAAAAATGTACGGTGTGGAGGCGATCGATGCTTTAAAATCTTTCGGATATTCCATGAATGAGATTTCTCTTTGTATAATACATTATATTATGTATGGCACAAAAACAGCATATTCGAATGTAAAATAATAAAGTTCTCCTTCAGTGTTATAAACATGTGTCGATTCATCGCCCACAGTTTCAAACTCATTTAACGCAAACACTCACACACCAAACTGGAAGTATTAAACATAAATTGAAACATTTATCGATAGCATTCAACTCCGACAACCGACAAAATCTTGTTTTGGTGTCACAATACGATTGATGTTCAAGTTTGAGATTTCAAATAGATATTTAACGATATCGATGCGGCTTCACAAGTGCAGATCACATAAAATAAACGCAATCAAAGATTGAAACGTTATTATTTTCGTGTTTAATTTTATGGTGCAAGACGCTTAACAAATTGTAATCTTTTTTGATTTTGAAATAAAATTTTAAACAAAAAAAAAATTGTGGTCAAATGTTCATTCAACAATATTTTTCTGCTCATTGGTCTAGGGTAGGATTCCCGCACTTCATGATGATTTCTGGTACATCAAACCATTCAAATTGTGAATGCAACGACCACAAACCAACAATAATATACAAACACTTTCGTTATTTATACTCAATTACGAAAATTCCAAGTTTAGCGAATCATAAGAAAATGAGAAAACGTCAAACTGTTTGCAATATTATAGAAGGAATAAACATAAACAACAGTTATTGAATGTCAACAAATGTGTAGACTGTAGAGTTATATTAATTTCATTGTGAAGTGATTATAATTCGTGTGCCAGCGAATTTCTTTAATCAAGTATAAATGTGTGGACAAACGCATCGTATAGTAAGTGGTCGTTGTTTTCACAGTTCAAAGGTTTGATGTGCTTATGAAAGTTCATCATTGGGAATGCTGCCCTATGCTACCGAGGATTCAACTTCATACTGTTGAAAACTACTTTGACCACGTTTTTTTTTTCAAATTGCAAAACACCTTTCTTTTTCATTGTTCCATAAATTAATAAATTATCATGAACGATTAGTTGAGTCATTTTTCAATTTTTGTAAAAAAAACACTGAAATCCATCAATCAAGAACGTAGTCTTAAACTTAATATATTTCATTTTCGATATGGTTAAAAAACTGTTTTTCATTTCGGCATTAACACTTTTACTTTTTTGGCTGTCGGATGCCTGTCAAATGGCAGGCGAGGCATTTGATTCAATACGAACAGACACAGCAATTAAATAAATAAGCCGACACCAAATCATTTCGCGTATTGTACTCATTTGTGAAGCTCTATTTGCTTTCGTTCTGTTTGTTGTTTTTGTTTCTCATTAATTCGTTGCCCAAAGCGCGAGCACACTCTTTTGCACTATGATTTGCACGCAGTGCATTCAAATCCAAAACAGTTATGTATACTAGAGTCATTGCTTTTTCGATTGTTTGCATTTGTTGTTCACGAAAGAAGAAAAAAAACACGAATGCACTTGTTCATGCGTAAGCCGCTGATTTCGTTGTTAACAACATTTGCTTTTGTTTGGTAAAAGTGTTTATTTTTGCACTCATGTCTCATGTCCCATAACTCCTCATTCAATTGGATTTCACGAAATGAAAACGAGCAACTTAGTAAGTGCACATTTTTTTTCACTTTTAAACATAATTATGGATAATTTTTACGAAAGTGGCTTGTTATTAATGACATTTGGAAATATAACGGTTGTTTTGCACATTCTTTTTTTTTACTTACCCACGAAAGCTGGAGTATCCATTATTTTGTAAATTTCATTCAATCAGAATTCGGTCAGATTTATTTTGTCTTAACTATTGTTTGTCGTTTGAATTGTTTCAATCCACCATTCACTTTTGAATGATTTCAATCAAGTGCTTAAACTTAATAATTACTATTTTTTTCACTTCAATCTCAATAGTGGTCGTCGTCAAAAGTTTTTTTTTTATTATTATTAAATACAAACACGAAAACACACTACATATTTTCTTATTCCATCGATATATACGAAGAAATGGCTCTGGAAAATATGTTAAAAATAAATTAAATGAAATAACAAACACTTAATAAAATTTTATTTATCACGAAATTCATTGGAAAACCCATAAAAAAATCCATAAATTAATTTAAATTAATTTTGGACACATGAAATTTGTTTCCTCCTTTTTAAAATAACCGTCGGCTTTGCATCGGGTGAATGCATGGCACGAAATGGGATCTTCTTATTGTGCGTTTTACCAAACGAGCGATATTTAGTACCAAACAAGCAACATTTTACGGCGATCATATAAACGATTTCTTATTTATTGATGTTGTACGCATGCAATTTCAGCGATCGGAACCGGCTACTCCTGTCTGTTTGAATTGTCTAACTAACTAAAATATATTGCAATCGGTTGCTTCAGCATATTTGCACGGTTTCGCACGTATATCGAAAGTGTACGTTAAATATCTGAATCGTTTCAAAGAAAGGTAGATGAATGCAGCCACAATCACTTCATTTCCAAACAAGACTCATGCCGAAATAACAACAACAACAACAGCAGCGTATTCAAACACACACGATCAGTTTCGCACACTGAACTCTTTACGCTACCAGAGTGTAATTAAATTTATGATCGCAAACACAGTAAAGTAGTAGTCGGATCGAACGAGCCCGAGAATAAACAGAAAAGAAAATAAGAAACCGCGAAAAAGGACAAGGCGAAATTCTTCAAACACACGCATTTACATGCATACAAGCAAAAGTCGCGAGATTCAAGTCATTGTCCATTGTCTTCATTTTCACTGCGTATTCGAAGTTTTAACACTTTTCGTTATCCGCTATTTATTTTTATTTTCAGTCGCTTATAACATCAGTGGCGATAAGACTATGTTTTTTTTATTCTATTCCATGAACTCTCGTTCGAAAACGTAATTTGCATGAAACCAAAAAGAAAATAATCAAGTATTCGCTAGCGAATGTTCAATCGAAACACATAACTGAATGAATGTGAGAATTCGATAACTAACGACAAAAACGATTCATTCACTTACTTTGCGATTACTCAATACTTTCGTTTTGTTTGATTTCCTTCGCGTCACATTGTTGACAATAACGCAACACTAATTTCGAATCACATGAATATTCTACGGAATTTTACATTTTCAATGATTTTTTATTTTATCTCCTTTTCATTCTTAATTCCACTGAAAAACTTATTCCACTGCTTTTGTCATCGCCATAATCTCTTGCATTTAAATCAATTTCCTATGCTTCTTATGTCCATTGATTGAATATGATTTTGAAAAAAAAAAAATAAAATAAATTGAGATAATACCAGTAAAAGAAACAAATCTAATTAGAATGTATGTGATGACAATGGAGGATGAAAAATACACACGAAAAGAGAAGAAAATAGCCGAATCAGAGATACATACAAAATACCCGCATCGATGACATAATACATCGTATGAACTTTTGCCATACAATTAATCTTAACTAATAAAAGATTTTTTATTTGTGTATTGGTGCTGTAATGGCCGTTTTTATTTTTTCAATAGAATACTAATGTATTAATTCTGTACTCTTTTTTTGTTGAAAAAAAAAACTGGAAATTTTGTAGTGTTATTCAAAGAGTTCAACTACGAGCGAGCGACGTGTGCGGTGTGGTATATGGAGAATAAAAACTTGAAACAACAGGTGTCAGAACGTGATTCTTTTACTTTCTTAACACATTTGACATCAGAATATTATTGTGCGAATATTCGATAAACACAGAACCAAAATAATGTATGTCACACACGATAAAATACAAATAGGTGATCTAAGAAAAATTGACGGTATGAAAAAAAGTGTAGCTGAAGTGCTAACAAAAACTGAAGTACGAAATTCAGTGTTATCTTATCATCGCCCCGAAAAAAAATGATGTCTGTATTACATTCTTAATAAGATCTCTGATAAATCATGTGCTAATTCTTGGATATATTTAATCTTCGGTTTTGGTATTAGTTTAAAAAACGATAATAAATTTTTTTTCGCCGTTTTGGTAAAACGCGCAGAAAACACTTGATGAACAAGCTTGAGTTGCTTGTTTCTACGTCATAAATTTGGCTTTGTTTGCACTTTTTTCGCATTTAAAATGTCTTTCAAATGTATTTTAACACATTTTGGATTATTTAATTTTGGAACTTATTTTTTGTTCTTTCTTTTACTGTAACGTTAAGAGTGGTAATAAAAAGATAGTCAGTTTTATAAAATGTACAAAGAGCAAAAAAATAAATGAAAATAACCATTGAGCGTTGTTTGGTCACAAAGTGTTGTTAAGCCGATGTTTAAATCCAAACTATCGAGGCAAAGATTTTTTGTTGTGTATTTCGATCGATGAAGCATGGAATAAACGAGAGAAAGAGAAAAGCAATGAATTGCGATGTATTGAGCAGAATGAGCGACCACGAATGGGTTTTTATTCAGTGGTATTGCATTCAGATGTCATGGTGTTGGTGTTTTGGATCGTCTTCATCAACGGCTGACACAAACACACATAAACCGCAACCACTCACAGTCTATGTTATTCACGGTTTAATACAACGTTCGATTAAGTGATGTACGCATACACTTCGCTCATGTAGTGCTCACTCGACCATGATGTACGGCAAATCGTTTGCGGCACAGATTTGGTGTGTATGCTTTGTTTACAACATACACGTACACACATTGTGTATGCGCTACCAAGATCCATGTGCGTAAACAATTGGATAATAAAGCGTATGTATACATACACATCGGAGAGTTGTGGTTATGTTTAATAAGAAATAATTTGACAATCGAGCTTTGACAAATCATTTGACATATTTTCTGTTGACTTTTGGAGACTTTTCATGGTCGTTGTGATCATTGTATTTTCGTCATTCATTTTATCCATCCCTCGTTTTACTCATACTCACCCACACATGCTTATTCTTATTTAAATGCTAAAACCAAATTTCCCGCATATTCAAATTGATATAATTAAATGAATATTATTGCTCATCTATTTCGAAATTGCCATGATTGATTTATGCAGACAATATTCCAGCATTGTTTACACTTGGATGACAAAGTAAAATATAATTGAATAAATAAATTTAAAATAAATGTGCGTTTTATTTGCACGTAATACAATTTAAATTGAATACTTCACAAAAAAAAATCACAGCCAAAAGGGGTGTTTGATTTATGGTAAAATTGCAAGCAAAAATTGCTTTTTCTTTGTTTTGTTCTATTGTACCATAAACCAAATTTTGTTACATGCCATTGTTATTGGAATTGAAAAGTAAACAGATTATTAAAAGGAGTGAGAATGAACGATATGATATTTTTAGATATTCATCAAAGATCGATGATTGATGAATGGTGGTAAATACACCCACACAAAAGAGAAAAATCAAAATTCCAAGAATAAACGTACACATGGAATTTTCACCTACAGAAAGAGTGATAAATGCATCGTTATCGTAAGGAGAACGGACATTAAGAAAACGCTAATGGTATGCCAAAAATCTTCCAGCTTAAATGGGCATATATGTCGTAATTACTCTTTGAAATATTTGCTTCATACAAAAAAGAGAGACATATCGTAAAACGGATACATAGGCATAGCTAACGGGGGCTATAATGTGCTTGCGCTCGTTTCAATAAACGACACCAGAGCCTTTGCTAGATAAACTCGAAGCGAATATGACATATAGTGATTGTTGTTCGTTGTGTTACGATTGGTGTATTTTGCCTCCACAAAGTATTTGAAATAAATTCGGTCAAACAAAGAAAAAACTAATTTTGTGACCAAGTCAGCACATTTTTTTGGGTGAGAATTATTTTCATATTTTTATGGTAATCTTTCTTTCGTGTTTTCTTGAAGTAAATGGATGGCTTTTTTTAATTTCAAATCATATAATTTTCGTTGATTCGTACAATATTTCAAATGGCTGATTCTACGGTTGTCTGAAATCAAAGTGAACCAGGCTATGAAATGACGTTTCAGTTTTAGTCGTTTAGTTTCTGTCGAGTTTCGAAACGGATAAGTAGCTCTATAAAATCATTTTGATTGTGAAAAATTACAAGCCCTATAAAATTCTTTACGACTCACATTTTAATCATTTTAAATACATATTTTACATAAACTGTTTACTTGTCGTATCAAAAATAATCAAAATATCCATTTTTATCGGATATTTTATCGAATTCATCAGTCTACTGTGAAAGAGAAAGACGAAGAGAGAATAAAATTATTGAAGAGAGTCGGAATAACGGTGAGAGTCTTCAAATTAAAGAAAAATAATGCAAAATTTTAACAGAAAATCTTTAGTTTTATTCATTTCAATAACAAAAATATAATTATTTTTAACAAAATTTAATAAAAATTGGAAAATTTCGAAAAAAAAATTTCAAAAAAACTCTACATATTGTATATGGGCGCATCATTCAAAATGTTCTGTCTTTGTTAGTGTTTGTCTCTTTTACTCTCTGGCGTTACTGTCAAAATACACACAATTTGTGGCGGCCATATTGAAAACTACTCTGATACTGTATAGTACACTACATACGTACAGTCATATGCGCCGCATAGTATAGACCCCATAATATTTACCGTGCACTCGTGCGTATGTATGCTGAGCAACATGCAAACATGTGTGTTGTATATGCCCATATAAATTTATGAACTTCAAAAACTACGGTCGTCCGAAGACTGAAATCGATGCAAGCGTTCTAGTATCGCTGTCGTAGTCGTCGTTGTCCATTTTCACTTGACGACTTCGCATACGAACGAATTCAAATATCATTTAATGTTTCTCGTTCTTCTGGTGAAGTGATTTGTGTGCGCTGGGTTGCTAATGCAACCGTTCTGAATTGAAAATTTTGAGTAAAAAATTTGGTCTGGTGAATGAAGTACGTGGCTTCATATTAGGTAAATCCTTAATTTACATGTTACAATTAAATTTCTTGACGAAATTTGACTGATTCAGGAATTGGAGTCCGATCTTGATTCCATTGTGAGCTTGGACCAAACAAAAATTTGGAACAAGAGAGAAAGTGATTTTTGAATAAAGCATTTTTGCGTACAAACGAATCCGGTATAAACTATCATCAATTCACTTTTAATACCCTTTCATTTTTTTTCACTGCGGATTATTTGAAATAAACAGTGCGTTCCGATTATGAATTATTATAAATTTTGAGGCCATCGATCCGTTCGAAATTATTCTTTTTTTTAAATAATTGAATTTTATTCGATTTCTGTGACGCCAAATTTTATTAAAATATTGTTCGATTTTTTGAAATAAATAATGTCAAAAAAATTCCCGAAATTTAATTGGCCAATTTTTTCAATATTTAATAAAAAAAATATTTTTTTTTTCAGACCAACACCGAAATTACAAAAGAACAATTGTTCTATATTTGTTTGGATTCAACTAATTAAAGAATTTTTAAGACAAAAAATGGTGCATGTAGACCGCTATCAACCAGAAAACCTTAGAAATGGTCGATCACGGGGACCAAGTCCAAATGGACACAACGGCTCACCTGATACATCTGATGATGATTGTAAGTACATATTATATTTATTATGTGACATCATAAAATGTTAATCAGTATTGAGAAAAGAATAAGAAAAAAGAAGAAGAAGAAGGAATGGTAGACTATACAGCATATATACTATAGATACCATTCCTAATACGAAAGTATATTTGCATGAAATTCATTTTACAATATTTATTGTTTCTACAAGTAATATAATTGGATAAACATTAATCGGTGTGAAAATGAAAAATTTTAAATTTCGTTACAGCGACCAAAAATGCAAAAGGAAATAAATCTGGTAAATCAAAGAGTGAATATGAAGGTAAGCATTTTTGTGAATAAATCTTTTGTTATCTCTTCTGTTGTTGTACATTTTGATTGTTTCTGTTTTGCAAGAATTAAAAGTGAAAAATCAATTCGAAAGGAAAAAGTCGGCGTATTTTCAAAATTGCCACATAAAAAATATGTCAAACAAAGCAAAAAAAAGAATTATGAATCAATGTTTGATTACGTCATGTATATACAGCTTTTAAGCATCATCAACAATTTTTTTCAAATGGTGCGAAGGAATTCGTTTGAATTTCCATCAATCCATTTATCCATATTCTTTGAATAAAATTCAATGTGCGAAGTCAATGTGGGGTTGTTTGAAATTCGTAAAAGAAAATGCTGCTTTGATACGCAAATGGTAACTGGCAATACGAATAGTTATTTGGTTTGAGAGAAGAAACTACGGTTGCCCGATGAAAGTGTCGTAAAAATGCACTCAGTGAAATACTAGTTTATCTAAATGCAGATGTTCTATGACAAATGCGGCAACGACGAAATCCAAGTTCAGATTGCTGTTCATGTGACCACAATTTACACATTTTTTGATAAAAACTTTTTTTTTCATCAAAATGTCAATTTTCCGTGTGATTTGATGTGAAAATGACAACAATTTTGGGTATGTTTGTTGTGAAGAAAATAAGTCCTTGTATTGTATTGATTTTTTACTATTGATCCGTCTCAACAATTCATTCAGACTTTGACTCATCATTTAATTATCTGGATTTCATTCATATATCTCTATTCTTTTTTTCTTCCCAATTTTATTTAGAAAAAATTCGTGTTGGCAAAGATTATCAAACAACGTGTCCAGATTTTATTCCGCCACAGGATCGAAAATTAGAATCATTGAACGATAGAGCACTTTTGGTATGGTCACCAACAAAAGATATTCCAGACAATAAGCTTGAAGACTACATAAGTGTAGCAAAAGAAAGATTCGGTTATAATGGTGAACAAGCATTGGGAATGCTCTTCTGGCACAAGCATGATTTAGAGCGTGCCGTTTTGGACTTGGCCAATTTCACACCATTTCCCGATGAGTGGACTGAAGAGGATAAAGTATTATTCGAACAAGCCTTTCAATTCCATGGAAAAAGTTTTCATCGGATACGTCAAATGGTAAGATCTGGTGTACATTTCGCATAAATTTCGGAACCGAAATTTATATTAACCGAATATGATAATTTTTCAGTTGCCTGACAAGTCAATTGCCAGTCTAGTGAAATATTACTATTCATGGAAGAAGACACGTAGCAGAACTAGTGTTATGGATCGTCAAGAGAAAATGAAAGCAAAAGAAGGCTCCGAAAATGGTAGCGAAAATGGCAGTAACGACGATTCAGATAATGAAGACAAGGTCAGTTTTTAATCATTTCTATCTTATTGTTCTTGATATAAAAATTCAGATGTTTTTCTAAGTCTGGACTGTGTTAGTCCTTTTGACGAAGTATGTTTGCGTTTTCCTATAGTTTTAATTTTTCACCTTGCTGACAATCAGCCCAAGAACTAGTGTGTGTATGTTTGATATGAAATGAAAAAAAAAACTCTGCTGAATGATATGATTGTATGAAATATGATGGGGGAGCTTAGTTGAGGACACTTTACCAAATTTTCTTTTATTAATTTATTAAATTTTGTACATTGTGATCAATTTTCTCAATCAGCACCATTTTATGTGTAGCCCGAGTGAATGTATGAGTTTAAGACTTGATGTTTTATTTTGTTGCATTCAGAAAAGCAAGAAAACTTGTACCACTTTTAATTTGAAAAAATGAATCGCACTTATCAAAACGATAAATATCCACGCAATACGCGAATGGACGCGTGTTTATTGTTTACTAATTCAGATAAAGTCAAGCAATTATTTGTAAAATCAACTAGGCAAATACCATCCAAGCAAATCAGTCAAATACCAAACTGTTTTCTCTCTTTCTCTCTATATCTATCTCTTTCCGTTCTGCTTTTTTCTGTTTTTTTCTCTTGTCCTCAAAATGATGATATTGATTGAAAATTCTGTATCAGAAATGGCCATTACACAGAGGTATACGACGTGCAAGTCGATCACCACCACCGCGTACTTCTGATGAATCAAGTAACAGTGTCTCTTCGTCTGCCATGAAACAGGTATGGGACGGATCGATTGCAATCTATAAATCGAACACTGAAACAATCGGCAATAAGCGCCAAAAAAAACTCTTATGTTTTTAGTTAAATGTATCATAAAAAACATTTATTTTCTTTTCACAACAAACAAACATTCTTTACACTGAACATACACTGAACACATCTTCTGCTTCATAAATGCACACGGTATTGAGTTGTAGTTTTTGGAAAAAAATACTCATTTCGCTTTTTATCTCGTGCTTTTATTTTAATCCTTTTTTGTTATGGTTTTAGCTCTCATTTAAATTTTATTGCATTGACTCATCTTTATGGCTTTTTCGATCATTTCAATTATTATATCTCCTTTAACGAATTTCTTTACGACTGACTTTTTGAATCGAATGTATTTAAATCAGCCAATATCTTCTTTTTTTTTTTACTGTTGTCTCTTTTTAACGCATTTAAAAAGAAAACTAATAATTTGGAAGAGATAAAACACAAACACACACACACACATATATACATTATTTTTTGTTATTTTAACATCACATTTGCGTTTGCTTTTGACCATAAAAAATGCATAGTATTTGTTTATCCACTATCATTATTTGCCACCACCTCTCGTTTTGTTATCCTTAGTTATATTGTTTTCTTGAATTTCACTCGTAACTCTTATATTTTTACATTAAAAAAAGAATGTTCACAAAAAACTCATATTTTTTCAAAAAAAAAAAAAAAAAAAAAAAAAAATCGTGTTGTACATTTCCGTGTGTTAATTTCGCTATTCGATGAATAGGCTAGTCCAAATCTGAATGGTGGAAGCAGCAGTAATGGCTCGAATCAACTGAATATCGGTGTCGGCGGAATTTCAAACAATAAAGAGACAACTTCGAATTTCATTGGCGAAAGTTCGTCAAATGCCGCAAACTTGCAAAATACGGCCGGCTCAAGTTTAACAGCAAACAACAACCCAAACACTTCGACTAACGACAAAGACAATCTTAAATCTTCAATAAATGCCAGCGCAGATGTTTTTGGGAATGTTGGTCAAAATCAAAAAGATTGTGTTGGGTGCGGTGTACCATGCAATCACACGAACACATCATCTCATGGTGCATTATGCAAAAGTTGTTTTCATCACTGGAGGTACAGAGATGGTCTATATATTTTCATCATCTCATTTTATTCACAAACGCACTATCCATAACTATCTCAAAATTCAAATCATTCGCATATGTTTGTTATATGAACAGTACAATACACTTAAAAAACACACACACAAAAACACATTCCACACGTGAATCGAAATTGCAATTTGCGAATCGTAGTTTATTTTCAAAATTCTATGTGTATACATTATAGCAAGCCAAACATAAAATTGGAATACATTGTTATTATCATTTGTGCTTTGTGAATTAGAATGGGATTTATTCAATAGAATTCAAATGTGCTAACTTATTTCTATTTTTTTACTTCCCAATATCCTGAAAAATCACCGTTTTCTTCTCTCGAAATGTGAATCATTCAGTCGAACCGGTTCGTTGCGACCAACATCTGGTCCAGGTTTGAGTAAACGATCACGCAACAACACCAACAACGGTGTTGAACGGCACAAATCCAAATTACCGCGTGGCATGTACATCAATCACGATGATATTGTTAAATTAGCATCACAAGAGTCGTCAAACAGTCGTGGTGATGATCTTTTAACTAACATGGATCGTGAAATAAGCACACTTTTGAGTCAAGTAAGATCTATCTTAAAGAAAATTTTGTATCATAAACTCACGTGGAAGAATAGAAACGGTTTGATTTGCTTAAATGGTGGTTTTTGGTATTGGTGGGTGATTTCGTTTTGACTTTAACTCCTTTCGGCCAAAATAATTTGTGGTACAGTTTGTCATGCCTTTCATATTGCTTGTTGTATGCATTGGGTTGAAGAATAAACAAAAGAAAATGATGAAAATTCAGTGTATGAAAGAATGTTAAGATAACGTTAGTAATATGTGATACTGACGGCCTGTATGGTTATGATATATGGTGCGCTTGTTTGTAACTTATTAACTGATTTCCGGAGTCACGCATGATAAAATCACAAATATAAATATTTATTTAAAAAAAAAACGAAATATGAATTGTTGATTTTGATGTGCAAAATCGAATAAAGTCAAAACGTGATTCAATCGAGCTACTGTTTGTGAGAAAGTAAAACAAAAATCAGATCGTTTCATTCGGACCACAAGGGGAATTTTCAAATAAACTTACGTTATCGATTACATATTGTTACGCAGATTCAAAACAATAAACAAATGTCCAGCAGTTTGAAAGTAAAGAATTCAAATAAGGCAGCAAGTGTATTTCGACCGGGCACTATAACGGCCAATAGAATAAGCGCAAGATGGAGTAATGATGAATATCAATTGGCAATTCAAGGCATGCGTATTTTTGGGAAAGATTTTCAATCGATTGCCGAAATTATTGGAACAAAAACTGAGTCACAAGTCAATCAATTTTATACAAATTATCGAAAAAAATATAGTTTAGATGATATCCTAAAAGAATATGAAACGAAAAAGTTACAAGAACAACAGCAAAAACAAAAATTAAATGAAGCAAAACAAAAGGCATCAAGATCAAATTCAACAAACAGCAACGATATTAAATTCGATCTAAAAAAACCGGTGTCAAACGATGAAATCATGGAAGTAAGTAATTCGAAAACGTCGCGAATATAAGCATTTATGTGTGATGGATTGAATGAATGGTTTTGTTTAGTTGGTAGAACGATAATTCAAAAGGTCTATTTTTTTATGAATAGCGAACAAAAATACCAGCATTGTCTTTTTTTCTATTTATAATGTGTTTATTAATAATGCCAACGTTCATTGAAATTTCAGATTGACTTAGTTGACGACATTCCAAATAAAGATGACGAAGACATGGATGAAGTTACCATAATTGAAACGGTATGTATCACATTTATTATTGCTCGAGGCTGAATAACACTTATTGTGATTGTCAAGTCTTAGATTCATTCAAATTGACCATTGTATGTTTATGAATAATAAACTAACTATGACATGCTATTTCCTTCAGGACTCAATGCCATCAACAACCCAAAAATCGACAAATTTCGAACAATTATTATCAGGCGAGCCAATGGACTCAATATCGATCACAGCGATTTCTAGTAGTAGTGGCCAAAACGGAAGTACACATCAATCGGAACCGATTCCCGAAGTCACAATCAGCCCAGCTGGTTCTAATTCAACAATCACATCAACCACGTCTTTGATGGCAATTGTTGAACAATCAAAAGCAGCCGCCGTCTAATGAGATTGAATTTTTACTATTCAAAATGCTAAGAATAGGTTCATTACGAAAAAGAGTTAAACAGAAAATGCAGGAAAACCCATAATTACTATTCAATTTGCGGTTAAATGCATTAAAAAGTATATATAAAATTACATATATATTTATATTATATACAATTGAGATACAAAATTTAGGGTTATAAGGAAAATAAACATTTGAAATGATTTGAAAAAAAAAAATGATGCCGAAAGAAATCGATTTGGTTTTGAAAATTCTGATCGTCTCTCCGTTAAATATTTTTAAGCAACGGTCAAACATTGACATCCTTTGGCATTTCAATTGTGGACACAATTTATGGCACTGCGTGTCTTTCAATATAGAAAATTATTTAGAATGAAAATAATTTGGTGGAAGAAATGCACTGTATAGTGCTTGATTCCATGCCACATTTCACATTAGTTGTACACATTTCGCTCATTACGTCCTTATTCTCATTTAATTTTCTTTTTCATCTTATTTTTCTTATTCTATTTAAATTAAATCAAGATAAGTCATATATTTTCATTTTATAAATTGAAAAAAATATTTGCACGTAAAAATATAACACACATTTTGTTTGTCTTCACATATCTAAAACAAAAATAACAACAGAAAGAAATTGTATTGTGCTTACTTGGAAATGAAATCATGTGTGGTTAAGAATTAAACTCGACTTTTGACGAACTCATTTCCTACTTTAATGAAAAAAGAAAACAATAAGTAAACTGGAATATATCTACTCACTTTGTGTACTCAAGGTTTTCAAATAAACTAAATGGAAATGTTGAATGTTTGAACAAAATTTCAAGCAATACAATTTAAATTATTACACAGGAAAATTTAATAAAAAAATCCAAATGATTGATATAATTTAAAGAAGTTGTGTTTTTATTGAGATAAAATCTAGTCGAAAATATTCGGCTTACCAGTAAACCTTTCAATAAGTTTAAAGCCAATACGACTTTTACTACCCGTATTAGAAGAATTCACGCTTCGTGTACACTCGGCACATCTTCGCTGCTTTGGCGAATATCAGCAGTAGAATTCACTGCGACATGGTAAAAAAACATCAAGTAGCCATATGTATATACATTTTTCATTCTCTTTCGTGCGAACTTTCTTTGGCTGTGTATGACTGTGAGCAAACACATGCATTAGAGCATTAGATGCACGACAGTTCCCAGTGAACTCAACGGCTGATATTCCGTAAAGCAGCGATGATGTGCCGAGTATACAAGGAAGCGTGAATTGTTCTAATACGCGTATTGGCTTTAAACGAGTGTTATACTCCGATTTTCGATTTTTTTGCATTTAATCGGTAGAGAGGCCCAAAAAAATATAATTTGAACCATTTTTGCCCAAACTCATATTTGGCTTTTTTATGCCCCTCTGTGTTTCCATGTGTACCATGAACTGATCACGATGATCTATGTCATAAACGACTTGACATAATCGATTACTTTCTTGGGCAAAGTTGTAGCCCCTAAGGAGACGAAAATTTGCGGTAAGAGTTGGAAATGTGAGGTAAGATTTCAAAGATTTTTTGGTTTCGCGCTTTCATTCACTCACATTGTTCAGTGGTAACACTAAATTTTATGCTGTGAAGTAAAAGTCTCCACATCAACCAAAATAATAACTAACATCGTAAGGCGAATAGAGCGAGACAGCAACAAAAATATGGTGTTTTGTTTGCATTTAAATTTCTATGATACGCAAAATATGGCGGTAACGCTCACCACGTTAAACGAATAGCAAACAGTGTGATGTGCACGCAAATGACAGAACACGGTAAAAATTAAACCAAAAAAGTGTAAAATATTATTTAAAATTAACCAACATAAGATAAATTCAAAGGTAGATTTTCATTATTCAAAACGATATACAAGATATAGACATTGAAACAGTGTAGAATATCGCAACAGTGATTCATATATCGTGTGTTGTTTATTGCGATGCAATTTTATGCGTTTTGACAGACGCAATACCGCAACGCCGAACGAAACGAAAGTACACATTACTTTGACTTGCTTAATGGATAAAGTGTTTGTTTGCAAAATTTTCGTAAATATTGACCTAGGTTCTGTGCAAAAATAAGACATTTCTTCGTCTCTTCATTTAATTGATTTTCAATTCGACATATCTCCAAATAAAATGAATCAAATCATATCTGCATGCGGGCATTAATCGAATCAAAAGTACAATAATAATTGCAATGCAAATCGAAAACATCTGCTGTTAAATTAGCACTTAGCAACAGTTTTGACAAATGGATTTTTGCATGGAAAAAAGTTCTCGTTAATTTGTTATAATTCTGTTTCCGAAATAAATCTCGAATTTAACTTGAAAATTACATTTCATTTTGTAAATAAAAAATATAAAAACAAAATTTATTTCTATCTTTCTCTTTCTCCGTGAAGTGAATATTTTGATCATAAAAACCAGTGACACAACACGTTATACGATAGCGCAAAGAGATAAAATGAAAATATGTCATCGGCAACACTGCTAAAAAGTACAGAAAAACGGGTCAAAACGCCGGTCGAATGTTGTGACTCAAAAAGTGACTGTGAAGTCAGCTCAAGTAGTAAGGCGAACGACATAAAAACAGTACAAAATTCTAAAGAACGAACGAAAGAACACACAGAAAACATTTCAAGTGTCACAAAACAATCGTCATCCAATGACAACACAAAAATGGACACAAAATCAACGGATGACAAAATGAGTTCGGAATCAACGAATAGAAATCCTGCATCGATATCACTTAATAATGAATCAAATCGAAAAAATAGCAACGGAAACGAAAATAAGACTACGAAAACTGCAACAAATACACAAAACGAAGCAAATAATAATAATAATCCAAAATTACGTGCACGTCCCGCCAAAAAGTTAACATCGCCGCCTAGAATGAGTGCGTGCGGCTGGTGTGGCGACACCAAACCAGTTCTTAATTTTATTTTGCCCACATTATCTGGGGAAAATCTTCAGTTTTGCACGGAAGTGTGCATCGCCGAATTCCGAAAAGCAGTTAAAAAAGGAGCATGTAAGCAATGTGGCAGTGTCGTAAGACCAACCGCACCCAATATGGAATATTGCTCATTATACTGTATGAATAAAGCAATGCCGAAAAGTGGTGAGTATTCTCTACGAGCCTACAAATGGCTCTCGCATACAAGTCAAATATGAATGTATGAATATCACTAATTTTATACATTTCATCAGGAAACGATGACGTCACCAGTACAACCAATGTCAATGGAAATTCCAAAACATCTCCGGGTAACAATAATTGCGCTGTGCCACGATCATTTCAATGTGAAACATCACATGGATTCAATTGGAATGACTATTTAGCCGTAAGTGTATTTTTAAACGATTTTGCAATCAATACCACACATTCCTGGTTATATATTGGAATTTAAATGTTTACAAATCATGAACTGTAGGAGACAAATAGCGATGCGGCACCGTCTTTCTGTTTCAAGCAAGCTGTGAATCCACCTGTTAACAAATTTGAAATGGGAATGAAATTGGAAGCGTTAGATCCGAGATGCGTCACATCAACCTGTAAATATCGATTGGAACTTCATTCATTCATAAAATAAATCAATTTTGCAAAAAAATAATAATTAAATTTTTATAAATTAAATGAATTAGGTATCGGAACAGTGATAAGCACGCTTGGTTGCCGCTTACGAATTCGATTGGATGGTGGCGATAATCAAAATGATTTTTGGAGACTTGTCGACTCAAATGAAATTCATCCGATTGGTACATGTGAGAAAAATGGTGGACAACTTCAGCCTCCATTGGGCTACAACCGAAATGTAAATGGATGGCAAACATTTTTGATCAAACAACTTAAAAATGCCGTATTGGCTCCAGAGGATATATTCCAGCCAGAACCAACGACGCCCAAGAAGAATATGTTCAAGGTAAGGGCTATATTTGTACGCTTTTTGTCGATTTCATGCTAAAATGTTAAATTCTGTTAATTTCGTAGATTGGCCAGAAATTGGAAGCAGTCGACAAAAAGCATCCGTCATTAATATGCTGTGCAACAGTTGATGCCATTAAAGATGATCAAATTCACATTGCATTTGACGGATGGCACGGAGCATTTGATTATTGGACTCGATTTGATTCAAGAGACATTTTTCCGGTTGGATGGTGTACGCGCAGTTGTCATCCATTTCAACCGCCAAATCCAAAAAAAGGAAAAAGTATTAAACCATCAAATACATTCATTCCCGAATTGGATACTCTGCCAACAACAATGCCAGTTACAATACATTTTCACACAAAATGTCGCGTTGGCCCCTTCATTGATCGACCTCGTTTTCGTTCTATGATAACGGCGCCAAACCACAAAACATTGGCTAAATTAATTTTAACAGAGATTTTGGACAGTTGCACTGACACAACACAGCTGGCGCCTCGGTTTTTTGCATTAGAGGGTGAAGACAATACAGTTGAGGCGGCAAATAAAAATTTTACGGTTAAAATACCAAGTTCAAATAGCATAAGCGACATCGATTTTTTACAGTTCATAAAAACCATATGCACAGCCTGTGAGGCATGTCCCAATTTCATTACGCTTGAACCAAGACCTGACAAATGTGATAGCTGTTGTAAACAGGAAAAATCCAAACATGAAAATGAAGACGAAAATAAGAAAGCGACCGAAGAAACACCGAAGTTGGTGCGAAAACAAGAGGCTCCCAGACAATCGGAACCAACACATCGGAAAGATGAAACCTTCAAATCGAAACAAACGTATAAACGTCGTCGCCAATCAGACATTGATATGGAGTCATCGTCACCGTCACCGTCACCAACGTCGTCATCAAGTTCCACTTCGAGCAACAGTGAGACATTTGTGAAAATTCCGAGAAAATCTGTTGAAGGGCCACTTGCCACTACTAAAACAACTCTCAGAAATCTGGAAGCGCAAAAAGTTACAACTACTACATCAGGTAAATGATGGTTATTTTTGTTGAATGAAAACGTTTTTTAACGTTATTATTTCTCTGCATTTTTAGCGCTCACACTTCCGACGCCAAGACCACCAAAAGTGGTAGTCTCACCATCGAAATCAACAGCTCCCGCCGAGTGGACAATCGAAGAAGTCATAAAATATATTACGGATGCAGATCCGAATCTCAGCGTTCATGCCGCTGTATTTCGTAAGCATGTAAGTAATGACATCGAATTAATTTGCATGTTTTATTCTAAATCAATCATTGCAATTTATAGGAAATCGATGGCAAAGCTCTTTTATTGCTCAACTCAGATATGATGTTGAAATACATGGACCTTAAACTTGGACCCGCATTAAAGATCTGTCATCTGGTGAATCGGCTTACATCGCGAAGGCACTAACTAATCCGAATGATTGTTGAACTATCCAAATCAAATACAGCCTTTTTACAAATAAATATTTTTTGATCAATGTTTGTTAAAGCACAATTTAATCAAAACTATTGTAAAGTCCGTTGGTTTTATAAGTCCTACAGTATATCATCACTTTATACAATATTCGAAAACAGTTAACTTTCGCGTGACCTTGGAAAATGTCTTTTCATTAAAATGTATAATCGTTTTAAAATGTAAATTTTTAAAATTATAGTTATAGCGTTTAAACTTCAACTCATCTTCAAGTAAAGAAAACAATTTACTTTTCACGAATTTTTCATATTTAAATATGATATTTTACTTTTTTTATTTCTATTTTTTTCTTTAGTTAATAATTTGAGTATTTTATAATTTATTCATTTCGTTTTATCAATTCGGAAATAAAAAAAATTCGATTGGAATTCTGAAATTCAAAATATATGTGTTTTTTTCTGTCCAAACTCGCGCTAATTATTATAGAGTTCTAAGAAGTTTTACTTTTCCGCCAACACGTAGTGTGAAACGAAAAGTCTTGTAATGGGGCCAAAAATAAAAATTCTCAAAATGGTCGGAGATGACCTTTTCTGGTTTGGGGATGAAAAATTAATCGATTTGAGACCATTGTTGTGGGTCTGTTCCACGTTGTACGTGACCGTTTTTGTTCACCCATTATCTCTTTTCTCGTGATAGTTTTTTAAAATCTGATTTTATAGGATGACTTGGAATATTGAGGAATAGATACCATTAGATTTTGGACCAAATTGGTCCACTCCATCGTGGTCCAATAGTGCATAAAATTTTTATTCTTTAAAAGTTTGTATGGGGGATGTCAAAATGTGTTAATTTTATGATCAAATTTGGATTCCTCGACCCAAAATTAGGGGGTTAGGAATCTTTGATGTTGGCCATCATGGTCTTCTATGATTCAACACGGTTATTTAACCAATTTTCAGCCTATTTTTGATCTTTTGACCAATAAACATGATAATTTTGGTCGACCCCAATAACTGTGTTAAATGATGTTTCCAAATTTTTAAACCAAACAATTTGCGATTTCTGAATATTTTAACAAGCTACAGAGTAATGCCTACTTTTTGTTTATTTTGTGGAAAATAGAAATATCGATGAGAATTTGTATTTTGTGCAATTTAATTTCGGAATTTTTATGAACATATCAAATGCAAAACGCATTGCAGACAATTAAATTGAATCAAATTCAATAACTGAAGAAAAAAAATTGAATTCCGTAGAAAATTCGAATATGTCTACACAAATGTCATAATTTGGAGAATTGCGTCACAAAAGTGTCAGCTTTCATTGAATGTTGATTTGCAAGAAACCTTCATTTTAGCTCAGTCTGCCGAAGAACACGTACTACCAACTCTAAATTGAGATTACATTTTTGTTAGTTTTTATTGTTTTGTTTCGTTGGATATCAACAAAATGGGAAAGAAAAAGGTGAAACCAAATGCTTTTTCCGTATTCATGCGTGAAGTTCTTGAACGTGAATCACGTAATGGACGTAAATATCCAAAGGTAAATAAATTGAAAATAACCACGTTTCAACCAAAAATATTTTCCAATGATTTTTTTTTCGACTTTTATCAATGTCAATCTGCTAATCACATTCTTTTTGTCATTTTAGGAAGAATGGGCGAGTGTGGCAAAACCCTTGTACGATGTGAGTTAAATTGTTTTTGATTTTGAAATCGACGTAATTGCATGTATTTTGGTGTTTTTGTTTTATTTCTTCAGAAACTCTCAGCGAGTGAAAAAGAGAGGTACAAGCAAATGGCCAAACAATTGCCAAGCCGTGTCGTACACCAAGCACCAAAGTTCACATCACAAGGAATTCCACTCGAACAAGTTGAGCGAGAGCAACGAGCACTGGAGGAAAAAAAACGGTTCATGGAACGGTCGATTAAAACGCAATGTGAAAATGCCTTCTTAGATAACGGTAAGTTGAAAAAAGCCAAGCGGTCATTTTGTGTCAAACTAATAAAAAGACATTGGTCAGCAGATTTTAAAAATAATTAACCTTGTCAGCCAAAAAAAAAAAAACAACAAGTACTTTTTATTAAAACAAAAATTTGTTGAATTATTTTAAAATAATAATTTTTGTTGATATTCTCTTCAGTCATAAAAAAGAAAGAGTTTTTCTTCATCATGGGCAATTACTTTTACAAAACGATGAGTGCACCATTCCTTTATGCACCGGCCGAAATAGCAGTTTCAAAATTCACTTTTGAGGATGGTATTACACAAAAATACCAAACGGCCATAAACCCAGGTACTTTTTGACGGCAAAATTTAAGAATTATTAAGATTTATGTTTAATTGTGTTTAATTTGAAGGAACGGTTGCCATGGGTTATGCTTTCGAAGCACAAGAACGATCACAAAAAATTCATCGATTACCTACACCACCTGATGCTCTAGGTGAAAAAAATTATGAGAATGTGTACAAGTCCATTCTTGATGTTTTGGGTGTTCAAATTGGTGAAACATTCGATTTGAACGACAATCGACGCCCTTCTGTTTACATTCGCAAACAAGACATGGAAATGATGGAGTCGATCCTCGACCAATTGTCCGAAAACCAATGGCAAAACACATTCAATTTGTTCGAACTAGAATTGCTATTTCACGAGCTCAAAAATAAAGTGACTGATGTACGAGTTCCGATATCAGTTACGAATTCTTTCATCGAACAAGATAAATACGATGCCTTAGCAAACATCTCCTGCGACCACCATGAAAAAGAGGACGCAACTCGACACTGCGCTTTAAGCTGTGTTCAGCGATGGTTCTATTTGTTTGCTGATCATATTTGCGAGAAAATTGATGTTCGATTGGTTCCTGGCACGCATCTACCGATTAATGCTCGCTTGACACCAGTCCAAGGTTTTGAGGATGATTTATTTAATCAACCACAAACATCAAATCGTGACGACGATCATCGATCGGTTATGTCTTCTTCATACACGGGCTACTCCCGCCACACAGACTCCGACTCGAGCTCAGATGATTATTGAAAATCTCGTTCTTCATTGAACACATTAATTGTATAAAAAATGTTTTTATCAACTAACTAGTTAAAAAAAACGATATTTAGGTCCATATTATAAGTACAAAAGAACAACCAAATTTAGGAACCAAAATGCTCAAGTTTTGTCAAAAAGAAATTTTTTTATTTCCAAGTCAATCGATACAAAGAAATGTAAATTCATGTGAGAAATAAAAAATAATGATTTATGTTTGAAAAAAAAAAAAAACTTCAAACTCGGTTCAATTTTTATAAAAATTTGGACAAATAAGCGATTTAAATATTTACAAAGAAATAAGCCAAATTGTTAGTATATATGTTCACAAGCACCAAATTCGCTAAAACAAAAATCGAATTACGTGACTGAAATTCTTGACATGCTATCCGTTTATTAGACAGTATAAAAGCTGACTCGGTTCGATCATTTTTCATTGTATTCAATGTGTTATTTAATAAGTTAGCCATGGATATGGAGCAAATAAGTGAGTATCATTTTCGTTTTATGTTTTTTGCATTTTGGCCAAAACACATTTTTCCTCGTATTCGACTGGATGATTTCGTTTACGATGCGCATACATGTTGGCACTAGATCTGAAAGTTTTTGAACAAAATGTGCATGTATACAAATACGCTTCCCCTGTATGCAAAGTCATGTGTTCCTGAAATTTGGAAATTAATTTAATTAGACCATTTTGCATTGGTTTAAAATACAATACTTTTGGCAAACGTTAATTCTTACCCTTAGGGTTTGTTTCTTTTTGAATATCTTCTCACAAATTGTGCATGGAAATTCATTTTTAGTCTTCACAGAACTGTCAACATCAGCGTGGAGATTTCGAATGTGTAATCGCAGTGATTTCTTATTGCTCGAAACTCTGCCGCAATATTTACAAGTGGCACTGTCAAAAATCATTTAAAATTCAATCAATATCTTTTCTTCTATTCTTTAGAAATGTTCTCATTTACCTTTGTGCATAATGGCGGCGAATGTGGTCTTTAAGCGTGTCCTGCAAATTTAATTTAAATCAATGAATAAATAAAATGTAATTCAACTCAACACTTTTATCCATACCAAGTGTTTAAACCACTTTTGACATAGGTCACATTGAACTCGTTGATCGATGTTTGTGTGCTCAACTTGGTAGTGACGTTCGTAGGATTTGGAACATTTAAAAAAGCGAGCACAAACATCACAAACCCTTAAAAGAAAAAAAAAAGATAAAAGTACATTATTTCTGATTATCACGATACATGGACAATTCTTTTGAATTGCATGCCTCTCCGAATGTCTCAGGATAAACTGCTCTCTATTTGAACTTTTGAAATGAACTAGTATCAAAAGACCATTGAGTTTATTTACCGTGAGTCAGCTTTATTGTGAACCTTCTCAATGTGCAACCTCAAATAAGCGGGTAGCACAAACCGCTGGCCACACTCGCCTTCTGAGCACACAAAGGGACGTTCTTCCTTCACCGTATGCTTCATTTTCAAGTGAGTGTTAAGAAGATGTTGCTTGGCAAATAATCTACTACATTGATCACACTGAAATCGCCTTTCATCGGCCGGGATGTGCATGGATGTTATGTGATCACGGAGACACACATTATCTTGGAAACATTTGTTGCAATCATCGCACTTGAAAGCTTCAGGATTATCGTGCCTAGAAATTAAATTTAAAAAAATTGAATAAATAAAAAGGTGATTCAAGTCAACCGAATAATTCGAACCAGGTGCAATGTTGTAAGACTCTTCCAATACGGCGAAACTTTCGATTGCAGCATATGATGTATCCATTTTGATTATGTATATCCAGAAAATGTGTTTGAATATCTGCAAACGAATCATAAACCCTATCGTCACTGCACACATCACATTTCATTTGAACGTAGCTAAGTAACCGTTTATTATCTTCATCCAGTACATTAACTGTGGTCACCGATATTTTTTTGTTTGTTTTTTTCGAATGTTTCGATATTTTATCGCTCGATGTTTTCTTCGATTTGGATGACAATTTCGCAGTTTTTGTTGCGGTCTTTCCACTCGATTTTCGTTTTTTCTCTTTCGATTCACTGGCATAAGATGTATCACTCGAGAAGTTATTATCATCATCGCGGTCGTCATCATCTTCGTCTTCGTCTTCTTCATAGATATAGCTAATGTCATCGTCACAATCACTCAATTCATCAGTATTTAGTATATCAGTGGAATTCAATTCTTCACTAACGTACTCGATGTTTCCATGCTCCTCTTTTATGTGCAGTGTTTCGGGCTCTTTTACATGGGAATCATTCGATTTTTGATTTGAATCGCTTGCAATTTTGGCTACATCATTTTCATCAACATTTATCATACAAAATGGTTCAATGAAAGAGAACGACTTTTTATCCTCAATTTGCTGGTTAAACATTTTGCTTGCGAACTCATTGTGGATTTTTTCAATCTCCGTAAAATATTGATTTGGCTGTTCAAAGGTGGTATAGCTTCCACTATCTTGTAAAAATTGTCGGTTATAGGTCGTTTGAATGTTTTCAACCTGAACGCAAAACTGATTAAATTCATCAATTTTCGACCAACACAAATCGCACAGTTGTGTCAATATACTATTGACACCATCGGCAGTGCTCAAATCACGTTTCTAGAAAGTATCAATAAAACCGTTATTAGTGTCAATCGTTTATTGGACATAAATTTGACCCTAAATAACTTACTTCAAATAAGATATTGTATTTCTCCAACAGCAGTTCAACCTCGAGCAGTTGAGCAGTAGAGACGAAGCTTGTATTAGCGCTGGTGCCTAAACACAAACGACACAATAACATTTTTTCCATATCCATTTTGTGTATTGCTTTTAGCTAATATCTCATTTAAATAAATTTATTTCTAAAACATAGCCTATTTTGGAAATTAAATTTCTTTCGCAACACTTTTTTGTTACTTTTTTTCTAATTGCTTATGTTATTGTCGATTTAAGTTAAATGTCAAAATTAGAACCCGTCAATCGGTCAATCGGATGAAATGTCAAAACGAAACAATGAAATACTGACAAAAAAATTAGTTGATTCCAATCTTCAATCCCAAATAGGTGGGTGAATCCAAATCCAAAAAAAAAAATCATATTTTATTTCGAAATTCGTTTTCTTTCAATGAATATTTCTTTGAAACATAGCACGAACCTTAAGGTCTACACTTTCGATATCATTGATGTGAACGAGTCTTAAACCTAACAACACGTGAACACACTGACACTTCGTTTAAAACATTCAAACCAAATAAATGAAACAAACTGTGAACTTTTCTTTGAAATTGAAAGTAATTGTTTAAAAAACTACAAATGAACGTCGATTTCAGTGAATACTTCAAAGCCCCGTTGGACTACAATCCACCAAAAGACACGGAACTGAATGGAAGTACCCAGTTTCCAAATTTAAATTCAGTCGAATTTAGAAACCGGCAAAATGACAACGAGACCACTTTGTTGCCATTCTACGAGTTAGTTGAAGCGAACGACGATCAGTCAACAGTTTTACTAGCAACCAATTCATACAATCAACGTTTATGGAATGGATCTGTTTTTGGTTATGACTGTTTAAGTGATGTCGGTAAACCGAATGCGGACCGCATCAAATTGTCGTTTGATTCAAATGTGACGGGCATACGGTTTTTGGACAAGTCAATGGTCGTTTTTACAAATGCAAACGGTTCAATTTTTCTATATTCAACGCAATCGGAAATTCGACAAAAAGATGGATACAGTTTGTTCCAAGTGTCAAAGAAAACCGAACATTATGGCATGATTACTGGTCTAACCATTCTGAATGGCGCAAAATCGGCGGTCACTGTTTCGAGCGATGGATGTATAAAGGTATGGCTGCTGGCACCGTGCGACATTGTATCCGATCAAACCTATCAATATGCACACAAAGAAGTCATCACGGGTATTTCGAAGCAGCCAAAATCGTCCGATATCTTTGCAACATGCTCTCGTGACCGTTTTCTTTCGATTTGGGATATACGAATCCGATTACCGATGATTAATTCGTGGAAAAATGAAGATTATGCTAATACCTCATGCCTGTGGGCAAATGTCAATGGTATCGAAAAATTGTATGTGGGCGATGACACCGGAACGGTACACATCTACGATCCACGGAAGTTAGACACATCGGTTGCATCACAAACTCTATTCGACCGTCCGATTTTCAAATTTAGTCAAAATCCATCTGAAAATTTGGTTTGTGTGCTAAGTCAAAGTAACAAGCTGAAGGTGCTGAACACCGCATCTGACACAAATACATTCGCAACCGTATACGAGGATTATTCGTCAAAGGATTACGTTCGCGATGTCTGCTGGGTGAAAGGTGACAAACAACAAGCACAGCAATCTGCATGCTACACAGTTGGCTGGAGCAAGACGATTGGACATCACACCATCGAACCATAAGCCAAACAAGCTGCACCATTACATTCAATGTTTTATAAATAAAAAAATATATCAATAAGTTTCAGTCGCTAAGCATGTGGATAACTGATTTATTCCAAAAAAATAACAAATATATTCGTTTTAACATGGATTTTATTTTGTATCTTAATGAAAATTAATGAAAAATATAAACACATGAAATGTTCAGAAATGATGACAAACTTTTAAACGATTTATTTAAAAAAAATTAAAATAAAACTGACTTCGAAGAATTGGATACACAGAACACAAAATAAAACACATTGATGCTATCTCAAAACAATATAATGAAATTACTATTTGTTTGAAAAATGTTAATTTTTATTTTATCAAAACAATTTTGTCTTAATTGGGATGAAATTACACTCTAATTGTTTGCCCTAATGTCGATAGCATCAAATTGTATGCAAAAAAAATTTTTTTTTATAGTTTTGAGTGTTTACTTCAATCGGTAGAGCCATTGGTGTTTGTTTTTTCGGATGCCTTAGATTCATCAGTTCCATTAGTTTTTTTAGCTTCATTGGTTCCATTAGTTTTGGTTTCACGAATTCCGTTAGTTTTGTTTTCTTTTTCGGCAGCAATGAATAAGGTGTGTTGACCACCTGATGATATGCGAATCACTTCTCGCTCTCTAACTTGAGCGCCTGTGAGTAGTACAGGTTTGAATTGATCTTCGTCCGAACCGATACCAAGCTGCTGATTCGATCCCATACCCCAACTATATGCTTTTCCATCTTCGGTGAGTGCAAACGAGCAACACTCTCCACAGTCCAGTTGAACAACATTTATATCTTGAAGATCTTTGATTAATGTTAGCTTATCGACTTCGTCTTCTATTTCGCCTAAACCTAAACGTCCATAATCCTTGCGTCCAATTGCATACGATTTATTATCATTTGTTATAACCAATGTGTGGTGCTGTCCACCGGTAATACTTTTAACATTTTCAAATGTTGTCAATTGTGGCGTGAATACAGTTTCTGAATTTTTCTTCGCCAATCCTAGTTGATTGTAGTTATTAAGACCGAAACCGAATACTGCACCATTGGATCGATTTCGCAAAAACGTACTAGAATTAATGCATAAAATATAGTTTTTTTAATCTTCATTACTAAACTATGTTTGTTGCAGAATAGATTTTTCATTTAGATTTTACATACCAATACGTGGTGGTCCATATTGCATCAACAAAATTAAATCGTGTGGCCGTAAGTAAAGCTGGCTGCAGCAATTGTGTTTTTCCGCGTCGACTTTCACCAGATGATGAACGATTGGAAACACGACCTAGTTGTATATGAAAACCGAAGTTGAATCATTCTTTACTTAAACGAACAAACTAAATGAATACCTAATTGGCCTTGTTCCGCACATCCTACTGTAAAAACTTTTCCGCGATTTGATAGCATAACTAAATGATCAGCGCCGGATTTTATGTCAACGAATTCTTCACCAGGTACGACCTCAATGGGAAATTGCTGCTTTCCGATAATATTCAAACCCATAGTGCCGTGCGAGTCTCGAAAAGATCCACATGCAAATACGCGTCCATCTTTTAGCAAAAATGACGAATGTGAATCGCCGGCCGTAATACGAATGCATGCATTTGGTAAATTAACTTTTTGTGCTTCGAATTCTGATCCCTCTTCGCTTGTATCGCGACCAAGTGCACCTTCGTCATTACAACCGAACGACCAAACCTCACCGTCCTCAGTCAAATATAGGCCTAGATTTAAAATTAGTTTTTTTTTAATGCAAAATATTCGAATAGAGCATATATCACGTTTTCTTCTTACTGTGCATTCCCCCCGCCGAAACGTCAACAATTTTTGAATCAGCAACCGATTTGACGAGAGCTGGTCGCGTTTTTTCACAAACATCGTCATTAAATCCAAGTTGGCCGACCTCATTTTGTCCGCAACTTAATAAATTTCCAGATCTTTTCGGTGGCTCTGGTAGCGGTAATCGATCTGTTAAAATCACGAGAGCACATGGTTAATTTTTGGCTACTGAAGAAATTAAAACATGAAACGTACCCTTTATGAATGACGATCGTCTTCTGTGGTCATTTGTTTTCTTCGATTTAATTATTGGTTCATCGCGTTCGTCTCCATTGCTGCCATTCATATCACTTGCTTTCCTTTTGCTCGATACTTCAGCCATTTTCGGATCAAATCTTAAACTTTGGGAAATTTGTTTTGTTCAATTTTTATTTGTACTAAGTGTATATTTTGTTTCTAAGGTTATGTGCAATCGTGTAATGCGAAAAAAAGATGAAAGCGTTTTTTCTACGACTTACTATGATTTTCAACTTACAATTGTAATAAAATTTATAGCAAAATTGTTTTCTTCCAAATAATTCGTTTATACAAAGTTGATTTTGTACCTAAAACTTTGCTTGCTGGAGATAATAATATTTTTCTATGACTGTAATTTAACAGAAGTGGCGGCAAACTATGGAATATGTTTGTGATAGAAGAAGACACATAGCACAGTAGTTTTGACACTTTTGTCAATTCTCTAAAATTGTCTAAAATATAATCTATTACCTTTTCAGCTAGAATGCCCATAGAACGAATAACATATTGACAATGAATTATCGCTAGACTTATTTTCGTCTTTTTCGGTAATATTATTTTGAAAATATAATTATATAAAATTAGTAATTGCCAACGATAATATGTAAATTATTATCATGCGTTCAACAAGAATTGCTTCTATTTTAACTATTAATTTCCTACGAAGATGGCAATACACAATCAAGGAATATATTGTATTTATGAACATATTTGATATTTAATTTGACCTTTGTACTACACACTGCTATTGATTGATCAAATGAACATGGAATATGTTTTATAACAACTATATGACAGAATTGAATAGAAACTTGTTTTTTTTTTCGTTACATTCAAATTATGATTTTATTTATTAAATCCAATATCCGATAGCTCTAATAACAATCATTTAATCACTGAATTGTATTGTTTCTTCTGTTAAATCCTATGTGGCCAGGGCTTTTGTGTTGTCGGCAATGTCTCCATCCTTAATTTTCTGCAATTGTTCGACTTTTATTTGTGGCTTAATTTGTGTGAACCACTTGTATCCAAAATATCCAAGATATGCCGTTGAAAGGACCGTAACCCCCATGCACACATACACGGTGCCGTGATGCAGAATATCGTAGATTTTGTTCTTCGCTTGTCGTTTCAGCAACATCTTTGTTATGTTGGAATAATTTTCTTCGAACTGAAATGTAAATCTCTTTGGATTGAAGAAAACTAGTCTTTTTCAATAGAAATATATGGTTATGTTTAGTTTTCACAGTGACAACTTATTTTGACAGTATGAAGTTAGTTATAAATTGGCTGATGTAAAGTGACAGCACCGGCTGGTTAAATTCATTTTTTTTTTGTTGATAACAATTGAAAAACACTCAATTTTTTCTCACATAAATGTAAGTTGTTTTGCTTAATAATTGAAATAAATAACTTTATCAAATGTATAGATTACATACTATAGAATGATAAAGAATAACAGTTTCTATTTTTCCTATTCGATTAGATTGTATACGCCGTAGCAGCTCATTTCGTTTGAATTTCAGATTTGTTTTTTTGGTTCCGAAAATGACGCAAATCAAACTTGTTTCGTCAAATAAATCGTTTGGTGGCTATCAAAAAATCTACTCACATTTTTCCAAAGAGTTGGAATGTGAAATGAAATTTGCCATCTACTTGCCGCCCCAAAGCGAGAATGCAACAGTCAAACTACCGGTGCTGTATTGGTTGAGCGGTCTGACTTGCAATGAAAACAATTTCATTCAGAAAGCCGGTGCACAACAGCATGCTGCTGATCACGGTTTGATCATTGTTTGTCCAGACACATCGCCCAGAGGTGTTGAAATCGCCGGCCAAGATGACGCCTACGATTTTGGAAGTGGTGCAGGTTTTTATGTGGATGCCATCACAGATCCATGGAACAAACACTACAAGATGTTTACGTATGTGACTAAGGAATTGATTGAAGTTATTAACCACAATTTTCCGACCGTTGAAGGCGTTCAAAGCATTTTCGGACATTCGATGGGCGGTCATGGTATGTGATATAGTATAGTTTATTTTGGGAAACATTCATTAAATTATCTAATTTTTTTTGTTTTAAAAGGTGCTTTAATATCTGCATTGCGTTGTCCGGGACTTTATAAATCGGTGTCAGCATTTGCACCAATTTCCAATCCGATTCAATGTGCATGGGGACAGAAGGCGTTCAAAGGGTATTTGGGTGAAGAAAAGCGCTTGTGGAACGAATGGGATGCAACTGAATTAGTTAAAACATACAATGGGCCACATTTGCAAATTCTGGTTGATCAAGGTCAAGATGATCAATTCCTAACTGAAGGTCAACTATTGCCAGAAAATCTAATTGAAGCATGTCTTGATTCACGCGTTGGTTGTATTTACAACAAACGAGAAGGATATGATCACAGCTATTTTTTCATTGCGTCATTTGTTGGCGAACATATCGCCTACCATGCTAAATCTTTGAAAGAATAAGCTAACGTTTGATGGAAATTTGAAAAAAATATATTAATAAGCATCTAAAGCTATCATAAACTATTATTGTTCAGCAAACTTAAAATATGCAAATAAAAAATATTTTTATAAAAAGAAAAACATGATTTTTTTTCATTTGATTAGCGTAAAAAATATTCAGATCGCAAAATTGCAACAGGGGTCAACCAAAATTGGGTTCACCTTTTGAAAATTTTATTGTTTGACTCAAATGTTTAACGAAATTTATAATTTATGGCTAACGATGATCGGCTGTGCAATCTTTTTTTTCCATTTGTATTTTAAAATATACGTTACACATTGACAAATATACAAATGAGGAACAAAACGAACGATTTAAATCCGAGCACCAATAATCGCAGTCGGAATTGAGTTACGATTTTAAATATTTGAACATTGTAGTTCACAGTATTTATTTTCGCTATCATGACCCTTGCTGACAGATGCGGGTCAATGAAAACAATGGAAAAGGTGATGTTGGTCACACCAAAAACGCTCAAATACAAAATCAGAATCGATAGAAATACAGAAAATTTACAACATTTTGCATTGGACCAACAAACAATCGGAATTGGTTCGAATACAATAATAGAAAAAAAAAATCCGCTCTGATGCCAATTCGGAAATGCATCCTTTTCATAACAATAAAAGGTCAATGAGAGAGAGAGAGGGAGATACAAGAAGGAGAAAGAAATGCACCACAAGGAATAGAATGCATTTATTTGCAATGGAAATGAAGAAAATGTGTGTGACCATTGGTCAAATGTCAACAATAAGCCTCTAATGCGTGCATACGATGCCAATTGTTTGTGCTCACTGTTCAGTGCACATAGCGGTTTTTATTGCACGATCATAAATTATGTGTGAACGCATTTTAAAAATAAAATGCATGGGTCGACAGGCTATTCAAATGTGCATTTGTGCATGACTTTATTGGAAATACATCATTTTTCGTTCGATTTTTTCTCATCGAAATCAAATCCCTCCGATGTGCGCAAAGAAAATTCGACTGTTTTATTTTATTTCATTTTAACCTCTCGTTTTGTGTTGCTGCTTGCTGATGAAAAATGCAACAATTTAAATTTCTGAAAACAATTACCACGATGATGCCATTCACAATTGAATGCAAACTTCAGAGAAATATAATAAATTGCATCGATTTTCGATTTCAAAACTATGACTACTCCACAAATACTCACATTTCGATCATGGCTTTGTATCGTTCAATGCAATGACACCGAATGAGTGAGTGGATAAATCTAGACCATTTTTAACGATTGCAATGTCCGTTTGGAATTCATTAATTTTGTTGCAGACGCACTTTGAGTTTAAAGGGCGAGGGTAAAGTTTCTATGTCTCAGCAATTTCAAATGACCGTTACATGTTTTTCAATTTTGAAAGGGGATGAACTTTAATTTTCTTACGTTTCCTTTGGTCATTTTGCGCTTTTTCTTTTAATCATAAGCGTTAAAGGTCATTTATTGTTAAGTTTGAACCTATATTTCCATGCCATTGCATTTTCATTCAATTTTTCATCAAAACTATTACATTTTGGCAAAGAAAAAAATTTACGTTCGATTTAGAGTGAAAAAAATGTCCCGACATCAAAGATAAAAAACATATTACATCGAAACCCGTAATTATTCCAAATATTCGAACGTATGCAAACACAGAGACGTGCAGCACTTTGCGGTAGACCAAGGCAATAATTATTTCCCAAATTATTTTTTTTGTTTGTTTACTCTTGATATCTTTGATTTTTATCATTGTCGTCGCATGACAAAATGATCACATAGACAAGAGGTACAAAAAATACAAAAGGTAAAAAAAGTGGCAAAAAATAACAATGGGCAAAAGATCAGTGCATAGAAAAATGGCATAAATATGTTGCAGGTAAAATACGACCAAAACAGAAGCAAAAAAATGCAATGATAAGAAATGCACCTAATACGATTTAAATGAACAAGAACAGTGGCGCGTGCTTCATAAATAGAGAAATTTACATACCACTTGTCTTGTGTTTCATTCTTTGCTTATTCAACGATGACGTCGTGGTCGTCGTCAATTTGTTGTGTGTTTTTACATCAGCCTAGCCGTCTCAACACTGAAATAAATGGTAAAAGTCGTAATTGGAACTAAATCATACATAGATACTTGGAACTTCTCTACCGATTGGAGTTTCCGATGTGGTTTTGGTTTTATCTACAATCATTAACCATAATTAGTACTTAAATGACTATGATTGGGTGTTTTACATGCTCTTTATATCGACAAGACTCAGTTGGCTTATATTCTAAAACGATTAATTGAATAATAAAGAGTCGACATTTTTTGTTTCTGTTTTTTTACGAAGTGCACGGAACAATGAGACCATATTAGGTAAACAGCAGTGATTTTTAATCCTCTCTTTTTCTAATCGAACTAATCGTTAAGATTTACATACATGTATTCAATCAATAAAAAAAACTTTTGTTTTTGTGTTTATTTTTTTTAATTGGTCGTATATTCTTAACTGTTGCATATTTTTGTTTTAAATATTTCTTTTGCCATCTGCTAAATTTAGAAGGATGGAATTCAAAGCATCACATGAATATGTTACTTAGTTCAAACCCGCTAGTTAGATTAACGCTAAAAAGACTTTCAGCAACGTTTTTGCTACAAAAAAAGCAATACATAAACGAAAAGCAATATCCAAAATCAATAGCTGTTTATATTCGTATACACATAAATGGAGTACATTTTTATCGCAAACAGTGGGATTTCATGGGCGCACCATTGATACCATAATCGCTGAAAAGGGTGTGAGTCAAAGAACTGAAAGACAAAAGCAAACGAAAACGAAAACTCATCTACCACCAAAATGAAGCGAAAAAAAAACGAGTAGATTTTCTCAGAAATCTTAGGAAAAATGTGCGTGTTCGGGGTGCTCCAAAAATAAATCGAAATATGTTGAGCGACAATAATGACGACTCGGCCCGCTTGCCAATGGTGATGGAAAAGAAGAGAATAACATCCAGAACAGAATAAATAAATAAAAGAGGGTAAAAACAGTCAGCTAGAAAACATTATCCATTTATTTTATCCGTCGTACATATATATTTTTATGCGCTCTCGGTGTGTTTTTTCATTCGTTCTCTCTATCTTGTATTTTCTGCACTGAAGATTTTTCCCTACTGATATTCCATTTACTTTCTTTCGGATGCCGTTGTATTATAAATTTATAAACCATTATTTACACTCTCTCAGCGTATACACGCACAAACGCAGGACAAAAATTCATGCTGAATGCCTATTGAATTCAATACGTTTCATATAATACCATTTTGGGCTATCGCACACGCTCCCTGCGTATATTATTTCCTATGTTCACAAAGCAATGTGTTTCTTTTGGTAAAGGAAAAAAGGAAATCGAATGCCATTTGAAAAAGAATATACGAATGAAAAAAAAATATATAGACACGCGCCACACTGTTTTATGCTCACACATTTGAACATCTGAACGCAATTGAATTGCGTGTCAAATCCATGCTCGCGTTCATTGTGATATCGATCAGAAGGTGTGGTTTAGTTTGTTCGCTACTCGTTTTTTGTGCCTACGTAAAAAAAATCATATCATAAAAAACGGGAACAAAGAAACGTACAGCGTTTTGATTGGGCGTTCGTTGTTACATCGTTTTTTTTTATGTTGGTGAAGGGGACTTTTTGAAAATGGAGTTTGTTTCGGATGTACATAAGTATTTTTTGTTATGTTTATATGTTTTTATATCTAATCGAGTTATGTGGAAATCGATTGATAGCAACATATAGTCTTCAATTTTTCGTTACTTGATGCATTTTACTCGTAAATGTTGAAATAAAGAATTTTCTCATTTCATAGATACAGGCTTTTTTACTTAGAACAATTGCAATGAACACATTCAATCAAATTCATCAACTCCCTCAACATGTACGCATGCAGAATGTTTGGATTTTCGAAATAAAATATAAAAAAAACAACGGTCACCCCACAATGAAAGGATTTTGTCCATGTGTGTATGTAAGCAAAAAGTATATTTAATGAAAATGTTTGTGCAGTTTCAACACATACGCCACCCTCGCAAGATGAAACAATGGTCGACCCTAAAATCTAATGTACAATGTGAACAGCATCAAAAAGACAAACTTTATCGAGCTAGCGAAAAAACGAATGGATTTTATTGGCATTTGAAACGAATGTGATTGAAGGAGAGAAGAGAAAAAAAAACATTATTCCAAATGTTGTTTGCATCGTAAGCATTAAGAGCATTGAAGGGGAAACGCCGAAATTTATGAGCACATATTTTCAATATGAGGCCTGCGGAAAACGCATTGTTTACATGCTGAGGATGTCCATAAATGACCGCCACACATCGATAGTGGATGATACGGAAAAGGAGCCAACCATCATCGTTGACGGAAAAACTAAGACAAAAAGAATGAAAAAAACCCATTTCAGATAATAATCATAATAGTAATAATAAGTGCGGCCACAATGAATCGGCTAATATGAGCGCACATAATGAAAGAAAATTAGATTGAATCGGAACCAAACAAAAAACACATTCACCACGAAGCACAACTGCTTATATCTTTCGCTCGCTAACGTTAATATATATATATATATTGTCCCGAGAGAGAAAGACAAAGAAAGGCAAAGGAAAAAAATGGAGTATAGCGAAGCTTCACCGCTTTGTAGCAATAAAAGAAACACTTCTTTCACGAAAACACAACATCTTATACTCAGTCATAATGTGATCAATAGTTTGAACGGTACAATAATACATATAGTCACAAATGCATGAACATGGAATAACGGTCCAAAAGAGATAGTGTACGGAACGGTTAAAACCATCCAATTTTTTCTTCTCTTGTATACATTTTTTGCGCCGAGTTCTTAAATTTAATAATACAACGGTGCTATTGGATTGTATTTTTGCCTTTCTCGACATTTAATTAATACAATTTACGTGAAAATAAAGATGTGCTCGCATTTTTCTCATTCGAGATTATATTAATTGTCACATTATGATTCTACCTTTGATTGTATGAGAAGCGAGTAAAAAAAGCAACATTCACTGAAATAAATTGCGCTCGCAGGACGAAAAAAGAAATATGATTCTTGAGAAAGTATGTGAAAATGAAATCGAATCCATTTGTTTGGCATTTGCTTGGATGCCATGAACCGTACGATTTCAATGTTATTTGCACAAAATAAATAGCCATAAACCAAGTGATACATGTAGCGATCTCCCCCATGACAACGCTGTCGAATAGGCATTCATGTGTAAATGGAAATACACACAATTTCTTTTTGCTCTCGTGTGTCAACAGTATCTCAAGCAAACGATGAAAAAACAAACCCAAGACTATATATTGCGTGCAATTTTTTCTCATTTGTATCAAATGTTTGCTGCTGATGTTGCTGTTTCGATTGCGCGAATCATACGCAGAGGCAAGCGAGCACGAAGGAGGAACGGCAACAAATAATGAAAAAAGTGGTTTGGAAGGAAAAAAAATGGATGATAATGGTGTTTCTATGACAACGAAGAATGTTCACTGAAGATTATCAAGCAGAGCAAATCATATGAAAAAGATAAAGAAAATGCAGAAAAAAACTGTTCACTTTGTATTTGTTGCGTATGGATTTAGTTACAAAGCAAAATGAAACGTTTACTATATGTATTGAAAAGATACTACGATTTGAGTCATTATCAAGTTCAGCGACATAGCCACATATTAGATGAAAAAAACATTTTAGATACTTGGTGACTGCTTGAAAGCTATTGTTATTTTATTTTACCACAAATATTTGTGTGTTTGACCAGATTCAAAGGATTTCATAAGTTATACACGGATTGTATTTTATGTTTCGTGTACGCACGCAAGGGCATAAATAATGCGATACGCCTAAATTCACTTATGCTCACATTTGACTATTATTTATGCCAGAAATAAATGGAAATATGAAGTTAATAGCAGTAAATAATAGTTTTCGCTCTGAATGTTACGCTGAATAACATTCAATTAAATAAAATCATAAGCGAAAATGATTACCAATAAATTAATGTGCAATGTCGGTTCATAGCTAAAAGTGGCCAAATATTCACGCGACAATGTTATATGCATTGGATAAGCTGACACAGTCAGGGATTCAACTATGTGCAATAAATAAAATTTGGATTTTTGAAAGCAATCTCGTATCAAATGTATTTGTAATCGTACTTTGCAACTGAGAATGGATTCACAGCATTCAATGAATTCTACTGGGCCTCATACTTTAATGCCTGCTGTTCACCTAATCGAATTCTGCTATAAAAGAGCCAAAATAATCCATCAATCAAGATCAAGGAAGTATTTGAAACATTCAATGTTTCCTTACATACGAAGATGTTGTTATCTGCTGCCACTTTGCATTGAAAACACCTCTTGAGATTGATTTGCATAGGCAAATTATTAAATTGTAACATACGATACTTCTTGATACGTTACAATAGCTGCAATCGATCACATTGTAATGAAATGAAATTGCTTTTTGACAAGTAAAAGTGATAATGTTAAAATAAAATGTGGTGCATTCGCAGAAAAAAATACAAAACCGCGTCCATATCAACCTTAGATATGTAGTCTTTTTTGTACGTATAAGAGGCGATTTTTTCGCGCCCGCGTATTCACGTTTCATTCGGTAAACGGGCGGCATTTTTGTCAACTGCAAAAAATTACAAATCTATCTCATTGGTTTTAGTTATTTGAACGCAAAAAAAAAATCTTTCTAATCTTGTTTGAGTAAAACGGTTTCAACAAAATCTTCAAATACGCAGAGAATTTTCGTGTTTTGTGTTGTGTTTCATCGATATCGCTTGCACATAAACATAACAACAAAAACGACCTTTGACAATGATTTCGTGCAGCGAAAAAACTAACAACCAAACCAAATCAGAATATTCACATTAGTACATAAATGAACGAGACTGCATTGTGCACGTTCAAGAGCCCAAAGCCGTCTAAGAGAAATAGACACACACGCATACTCACACTCATACCCAGCACTCACACACGCACACACACAGCAACGAACAGCCGCACAAAGCAAGTTAAAAAAAAACCGACCAACTCATATGCACAGTGAGTGCCAAACAGGGATGGTAGTATACACGGAGAGGGTCTGAACTGTGTGTTGTTGAAAAAACATTGGATGTCCGAACGAACCAATTTTTATACTGTTTTTAAGATGTTTTTGTGAGCGCGTCGAAAAAACAAAGTCAGTCTGTGTCGATAAAGCAACGAGATGACACACAGTCAGCTCTGATGTGAAAAAAACCAATTTTGTTTTTCAGTTGATTTTTTGTGTTTTCGACAGTGACATTTTTCGAATTATTTTCAAAACAAAAAAAGTATTTCGTATTGAAAACATCGATTTTTGAACATTTTCTTTCTTTCGAATGTGTTTGCATTTTTGGATATAGTGTTGTTTTTTTTTTGAAAAAATCACCAATTCATCACCAATAGAAATTGAATTTAAATCTGAAGGAAGAGTTGACAACCACTGATTTTGGCTATTCTCGGTATTTAAGCAATCGAGTATTAAATATCAATCAATACACTTGCAAATTTACAACACCTATACGAAGAGGTGAGTTGAGTTTTTTTGTTGTAATTGTGTTTCTCTATAGTGTTTAAAGAAATGTGATCGGATATTCTATTTAAGTAATAGATAAAATACGACTTTAAATTATTGGAATAAATTTCCTTCCGTTCATTGGCGCTGTAGCGGAAATAGAAACGTGTTCGATCATTTTTTTTGGTTAACTGCTATTTTTCGGTTGAAGTTCGTTGAAGTAACCTAACAATAAAATGTTTGTTTGATTACAATAAAGTTTCATTGTGCGATCCACAAAAAATGGTTTATACAATTTCAAAAAAATGCTACAAACCACTTGAAAAATATAAGTCCTTTTGAGATGTTAATGCTTGAATTCATTAGAAAAATAAAAACAAAAATAAATACGCTTCTTGAGTCGGTGTCCGCTTTCGTAATTTTGTTTATCCGTCGTCAGCGCAGTATTTTAAAGGGAGGCTGACATATGTCCGCTAAATAAATTTATATGATGGACAAATCTCAAGCAGTACATAATTGAAAAAAACCACATACATTACGAAAAAAAACTTTAAAAACTAGTTTCAATAAATGAAGACCAAATACTTCGATTTCCCTTCTCATTTATTCTACTTTCATTTATAGTACTATAGTAGTTATATATACCATTTGAAATATCAATAAAAAAAATTATGATTTCAATGCATCGATGACAGCACATGAAATGATAAATTTATTTACACATCGCTTTCTAAATCATATTTTCATTAATTGACAGTCAGACAAAAAGCCCTCATATTTCTCAAAATTTAAACAGTTTTTTTTTTGTGTCGGAACAAGTATACAATGCACGTTCGATCCCTTCAAAATTTGAATTAAATTGAATTTCATTGCTAAGTAAGTGCCATTGGATATTTACAACAGTAGTTAGCAATTGTACTACGACGAAGTAAAACAATAGTTTAGCGCAATTTTCATAGATTTCAATGTGATGGACTCATCAGATTTACTTATATTCACTTATGCAGTTACAATTTAATACCTGGCCAATAGTTCTAATGTTTACAACTAAGACACAAAGAGAAACCAATCACTTCAATACCAAAAAAATGATGTGCTATAAAACTGGGGACAAATGACCAGATACACATACAAAAGACATTAAAATGCATCAAAAGAGGAGTGATTTCAAAATTTCTCCCATTTATTGCTCTTTTAAAAAGAAAGGGCCTGCGATATATGACTAAGGACATAGTTAGACAAAAAAAACTCCTGTTTTTGACAAAAAAAAGAGTTGATTACCATCAGCACCATTCAGTGCAATAAGTTTTAAAGATCTACAAGTCCAAAGCAAGAGCACAATATTTGAAAAGAAAGGTCTTAAACAATTATTTTATGACTTTATCCTCTTTGGACAAACTAAGTAAACAAAAAATAGAAAAGTTTTTTTAATTTCCTTCTACGTCTTCCTCATTATTCAGAGCAATATGTTGCAAAGTGCTGTTGCAGAGCACAAACGAAGTATAGGAAATGTGGCATAGTAACCATCGTAAAACCTATTTTTTCAAATCCTATTCATGTCGACACTTTTTTTGCTCTCATTCACCCTTGCTTTTCAAATCACCAATAAAATGACATAAACTGTTGATTGATTTCCCAGAATTTTCGAAAATATGAAACAATTTTTTTTTTAAGTTCATGTATTTATGTATATTGGATGCAATTTAACTTTAAAAAGTTTATTTGAAATTCTTAAAATTCGTCAATAATGAGCTGGGCATAGGTCCATTTTTTTTCTGTATGCAGCAAACCATAAAAACGAGCAACGAAAATTGAATGAACGAATTTTTTTTTTGTAATTCTTTGTGACGCCATTTTGTTTCGAATAAAAAACGCACATAGTACATTACAATAAAGAAATCCCCTCACAAATGTACCATATAAAGATACGTGCCCGCTTTTCCATGCCACACTCATATCACTTTATCCGTGAACCAATCACATGTACCTATATAATATAACATAACACAATATACAGCGTACACGGTATCAGAGCAGCGAACACAAAAAACACAACGAATACGCGTTCTATTCTCATTTTGTCGCTGGATGGTATGGAAAGCGGTAAATAAAAGTATATAGCCTCGGTTTTATGTACTCACATTTCAGATGAGTTTTTTTTGTGCACATCGTAGATCTGCGACAATTTGATATAGATTTTTGCCGTCTACTTCTCTTTTACGAGAACTTGTTTTTTCGCCTTCACACAATACTTATTGAATGCAAACATGAAAAAACGGCGCATGCGAACAAGTTTTGGTAGATTTTTTTGTACCGTTTATTTAATATTTTTGATGGAACATGAAACAACGAAACTGTATTTTAGTGGGGACGTCCAGATTGAATACACTTACAAAAGCAATACATTTTTCTTGCACAAATTTATAGATTGTATTTCATCGTATCTTCTTACTTTTTTCTTCTCGACCATTCAGTCTTTTTTTTCGTTCAATTTTGGCAAACAAATAGTATATAAAACCTCTTACGAATCTCAAGTTAGGTTGTTTCTTTGTTTTCTTGCTCCATGCAAGTGTATGCGTATGTGTAACTATTAAATGAGATGCGAGAAATGTTAGTGAAATGAAAGCAAACATATCGAATCCATAAATAAATTTCACTCATTCCGATGATGTTGATGATGATGCCGTGTTTTTGTCAACCGAATGAGCAAATATTTTTGTTGAGTCAACACACGCTAGAAAGCAATAACAAATGTGTTAATGTCAGCTATCCACTAGCATGTATTCGTTTAATAAGTATTGGTACCTTGTTTTTCTTATTGAACTCATATGAAAAAAAAAAAAATAACAAAATAATTTTGCTTCTGAAATAATTTCATTTTACTGTCACAACATAAATATACATCGAGATACAATAGTAATGAAATTGACAATTTATGATTTTGAATATTGTTTTTATTACAGATAGCACCGAATTCGTTCGAGCAGTTGACCAATCATTTGCGATTTAACCAAACCCATAAAACAAAAACGAAAATATGCACAGCTGGGATATAATGCCGCAAAGCGCAAATTACGATCAAGGCTGGTGCGGGACCACAACAAATGCTGCTAACGTTCACATCAAAGCCGAACCACCAAATATCGAAGCAACATTCGATTCAATCGATATCAAATCAAATAACAACAACAACAACACAATGATGCTTAGTGCGACTGGCTCGCGCAATAGCGAATCGAATCCAACATCACCACACAGTGTTGTAAGTGATGAATCGGTAGTCAATCATCCAAATTTGTACTACAACGATACACTTCATTCACTCATCAATGGCAATAATACGCAGCGACCACTTGGCTTCAATCCGTTAACACCTCCCGGCTATCCAAATGCTTGTCTACGTTCAACCACTGATGTGAATATGCAAGAAACTCTTCTCCCAACAACGCCATCACGACGATTTGCAAAGACCGAATCTGCATTCAATTCCAGTTCATTGACACCAATTCATACACCACCAATGGATCAAACACCGCCAAAATCACCAAAATTCAATAGTGACATTTCCGAAAAGGATGGAACTGACATCGAAAATGGTTCAATATCGGGCGATGATTCAAAGTCATTTTACGGTGATTTTAATCAAGAAATCGCATTGCCCAAAGTAAATTCACACGGTAAAGTTAAAACACATAAATGCAAACATTGTGCATACATTGGTGTAACGAAAAAAGACTTTTGGGAACATCAGCGTCAACACATCAAACCAGAACGACAGATTTCGTGTCCAAAATGTCCATTTGTTACGGAGTTTAAGCATCACTTCGAATACCATGTACGGAACCATGACGGTGACAAACCATTTAAATGTCCAGAATGCGCATATTCGTGTGTAAACAAATCAATGTTAAATTCACACTTGAAATCACATTCCGATGTTTATCAATATCGATGCGAAAATTGCAACTATGCCACCAAATATGTGCACTCATTGAAATTACATTTGCGCAAATACGATCATCATCCGGCCGTACCATTGGATCCAGAAGGCATTCCCGATGCAGCGCCAATCATTGATGTCTATGGAACACGACGGGGACCGAAGAAGCGCTCAGTAAAAACACCGGGCAAACGTGAACAGAAAAAACAAAACAAAATACTAAAAGCGAAAGAAAATAGCTCAAAACTCATTCCACAGTCACATTCAAACCAATCCACACAGCAAACAACATCACAACCACCTTCAGCACTTTCAAATCTTGGCATGACCTTACCACCATTCTTACCCAGTCATATTGCTAACATGCTACCGTATTTCAATTTACAAATGCTTGTGCAACAACAACAATTGGCTGCTCAACTTTCACCAAATCAATTCCGGAATGGTGGTCACAATTTTGAAGACGATGATGACGAAGACGTTAATATGGTGAACGAACCGTTGGGTCGTTTGAATGACCTTAAGCATGAGTTGGACATCAGTCATCCAGAATCGCCGACTTCATCGGTACCGAATAGTAATCCCAGCTTGAACAGTAGCCACATGAGCAAAAGCGGTGACGACGACAATCACAGTTCGCCAATGGATTGTCACGCGCCAAAATCAACCAACAACTTGACACCAGGCCGATGTTCAGAGACTGATAAATCACCGGACAACGGAACAACAGCATCATCATCATCGAGTACACCGAAAATGTTTGATTGCAAGTATTGTTTAATATCGTTTCAAGACGCCGTTTTACACACCATCCATATGGGATACCATGGCTATAATGATGTCTTCACGTGTAACATGTGCGGTGAAAAGTGTTCGGATCGCATTTCATTCTTCTTACATATCGCCAAAAATCAGCACTCATAAAGAAAGTCGGCGTAGTCAATGACCGAAGCGAATAAAAAACAAAAACAAAATAACGCGTAGGATATCATAGGGTATCGTATTATTGTTAATCAATAATAAATTGAATGTCTAGTTCGTCACGTGTACAAAAACTAATTTATTCTATTCAATAAATAAATGGATTCAATTTCCTATCTAATTAAAAGGAAAAACACTCAATAAGATTATGGAATAATTTTCAACTAGTCGCAATTCAGCATTTTTAATTATTTTTCATGTTAATTGATGGAATTTTTTGTTGTTGCATGAATCATATAAGCAATGAATATGCTCAACAATAAGAATGGCTTCGATGCGATGAAGGAGATTTCGAAAGCAATTTGTACATGTTTACGAAATTACAGCAAAGTCCAAAAACTAGTGAGTTTAAGAAATGTATCGTATTTGGCAAATGATTACTTATTTTTCCAATGCGTAAAAGAAAACATGGGTGTAATCTGAAGAAGAGCGTTTTGTTTTCACTTTTCATTCCCCATCAAATTTAATTTTGATTTGAAAACAACTCAACAAGTAGCAATTAAACACAGATAAATACCTCATTAAACATAATAAGAACCATTTAAAATGTAAGACGTGGAATAAATTGTTGTTGTCTACAACGAAACCATGAGCAACTATAATCAAAACAAACAAAAAACCGATCTCTCTGAGAACTTACAATTTTAAAAATAAAGAAAAGGATGTAATGCCATGAAATAAAAATGTATATTTTTTAAGCCGAAATTTTTTCTGTTTGAAAGAGTTGATTGTAGGTGAAGTAGATTATGAGAAAAAAATCCAAAATATCAAAAAATAATTTTGAAATTGATTTAATGTAACTTTTACGATTGAACACACTTTCTCTATGGAGTTCATTAACGAAATTCAAAAATGATTTTTTCTTCTTTAAATTAAATTAATTCATTCAATGAATTCATTATTCTATATATCAACCTGATTTTTGTATTTATAAAACGTAGCCGTTAAGATTTTACAACCAACCTTAGTACATTTAATTTAAACTATTTAAATTATTATTAATATCTATATCAGGATAAGTTAAGTGAAGAAAAGTCAGATGAACATAATCTATTTAATTAACAAGTAGAATTACATTTTTAAGTTTTAAATTTTTGATTTGAATTCAAACAAAGCATATGAAATAAAAAAGAACAAAAAATGAACATTATTTAAGCAAAACAAATTGCACTTTCAATTTATTATCGCCTGTTAGGCACTTCAAAAGGTTTATAATAAAAACATCACACAACAGGAGGCAACACCTATTTTCATTCAAAATAAGGAATGGCACGCGATCTCTTGCTTCACGCAATTCAGATTAAACCTCTCAATCAATATAAAGATGAATGCAAACCACCATTCAAAATCGAAAAAAAAGAAGAAAAAAACGCTAATTCACCTTTGAACCTTGCTTAAACACGCGTTCTTTATTATTATTTTTATATATACAGTGTCACCATTGATCGATATGAAAATAAGGATCAAGATAATGTCGATTGTCGTCAAAATTCATTTTAAAAGAAGGGACCAAAAAGAAAAACCCACTTTAATTATGGGTGTTTTCAAAAGACTTCCTATTTGCATTGTGGCAAAGCATCGACGTAGAATTAGGAAGGAAGAAAACGGAAAAGGAGATTCGTAGAATGAAATTTACGCAAATGTATCGAATTCCCGCAAGATGAAGAATTCAGCAGAGAACATTGGGCGAAGTAAATACGAAAGAAAACATACCCAAATGCGCGCAAACAAAATTCAAATGTCAAAGATCGATTTTTATGTAGTTTACGTCCTCGTATTTCCGTATACCGAAAATCAATCGGAAAGGAAAACACAGGGTATAAAAGGCACAAGATTTGAGCAATTTTATAAGATAAAATGATGCATTACAAGGTTCCGCACGTGCGTTCGATGTTGGAAAATTTGGTAGAAATGCATTGAAAAAAACGGTTACTCAATAGGTCGTGTGCTGTGAAAAAGTGCAGCTATTCGGTGGCAATATGTGGTGACTTTTTGGAATAAAAACCAATACACATTTCATTGCACGGATTCTGAAAATGCAAATGGACATGAACAACAGCAATGACAACTAATGTCGCCAGTATAAACTTCGATTTTAATATTTTTGCTTCTGGAAAAAGGGAGAATGAATAGAGAAAATAGAAAAAAAAAATTGTCTATTTATAAAAAGCATGGATGTTTTCCAGAAAACGCTAGTGGTGTGACAAGAACATGCGTTGATTTAAACGTTTGTTTGAATAATGTGTAAATTAGTATCGAGCGCGACTGATCTTGCTGATGTCAATGTCATCATGTACCCTGTGTTTTTTCTACTCGTTGTACGACCGCTTGCTCTCTTCCGATTCATCACTTTTTCAGTTTGTTTTTATAGGCGTCAGCATGTTTTTTGTCTCATTTAATTTCAGAAGGAATGCTGGAAATAGAAGCCACAACAGTTTTACAACTCATTATACCGTATTTTAAATATAATAAATACCCCATTTCATAGCCATGATGTTGACGACGGTGATAGTTGTGCGCACACACATCTTGTGTTCGGCGGTGTTTGGTAAAACTATTAAATTTTTTCGTCATCTCTTTTTTTCCCAAACGATTAACCTACATGGAGTAGTCAATAGTGCACTTTTGGTGCATGAAAATATGACTTCAATTCATTTTAAACAAATATAAATGGTTCAAACTTGACAGTAATGTTCAGTTATATTTATTTATTCTATAATATGCTCTTTAAATGCAACCATACAGCATCAGTATTTCAATTCCAGTTTGAAAATTTTGTTTTTTTCATGTAAGCACATTTTTGTTTTAATTAATTTGTTCGATCGATTTTTTTTTGTTCAGTATAAACATCTGGCTTGTGCCGACTATCGTATAATTTATATAATGTGTGTTTATGTGCGTAATGGTTTGTTTTGCTAGGGTTTCTTTGCGCCTTTGAGTGATTGTGCACCATTATTTTTTTCGATCATTTTTAGCACGCAAAGCGAAAATAAATGTATAGAAAAAAAAAACATGAAATTGGGTTTCGTATGTAATGTATGGCACATTGACTTGAAATTGGTACCGTTTGTTTTAAATTTCGAATATTGACCATGACTGGTTTGTTTCTTTTTTAAACCAAGCATTTCCAGATCCGTTCGGTGATATACGTATTTGAAAATTGATTAATGTTTAACAATACATTTAGCCTTATGATTCATACCTGTTTTTAATTCGTTGAACAGAAAAAGTAAAAAAAAAAAACGCCGTCGAATGTCTATTTTTATACATATTTTTGATGGACGGCAATGTGAAACGAATTCGTTATAATTTTTTTTCACCAATTTTCTTCACCGTTTTCATGTCTAATTGATAAAAATGTTATTTATCCAGCGCAGCCGTATGGTCCAGCACTTTTTGCAACCGGTATAAATGTGATAGAGAAATAGAACAAACCGAAAAAATGACCAAATTGATCGGATGTTTCGATAAAATCAACCAAATGCTTCATTCAATCGCGTTCACTTTCACGAACCACATGCAGAAAAATACGCCAAATAAAAGGACTGCATTCGGATCATAAGTCTTTCTTTTCAATGATCCATCACCTGTACAGGGCCAATGTGCGATATGTGGTAAAGGAATCAATTCAACATATAAAAAACAACAAAGAACATAAACGAAAAGCAAAACGAATTGATTTTTTACCTGTTTTTCATAGTCTCTTGGTTTTTTTTCTCTCTTCTGTCATATCGTTTTGTATTCATACGCTTCTAACAGGGTCAGATATTTTTTTTATTGCTCTTCATGAATGCAGTTGCAACATCCGAACATAGAAATATGATCTTTTATTATTGATTTTTTTTTTCTGGAGTGTAAGTATATACTGTGGATTTTTTTTTTGGTGCACTTCAATCAACATTTTTGTATGTGTGTTAAAATAATAAATAAATCGACTGTGTCCTGTGACTATCTTTCATAAATGGGTACAACACCATTTCTAGCAGATGATACTTCACTCGGCATTTGGTTTCTTTCTGCATTGTATGCCTTGCATTACTTTTTGCTTCGTAAAAGATGCAATGTGCACTTTTATGTTGAAAAAAAAGGAAGCAATGCAAACGACATCAACTCAAATCACAAAGCCGTAGCAAGGATCTTGAGGCATTTGAAAAAGGACGAAACGAAAGCAAACGAAGAAATTCTGACACGAATGAATAAAAAGCGATGTGTTCTTTTGAGGTACGCAGATTAGCCCATCTAATCGTTCAAAGAACTTGCACCACATTCAAGCAATCAAATCGCAATACATGGAAGAAAATCTCGGTGTGGTTTATATTATGTCGAAAAAGGAAATGGTTCATATTTAAAGTGTATTTCTTTTTTTTTATCCACACAAAAAGAGCAAATATCAATGGTTGATTGTAATTGAGCCAACAGGCAAAAAATTTCATTCACATTTTTTTTTCAGCGACAAACCTCAATCCGTGGCCGTAAATAATCCATATAACAAGTTGGGATCAAGTGAGGTTAATATTATTTAGAAAAAAAAACTGAAAAAAAAACATTGCCACACTTTTTTCATTGAATATTTTTTATACGCAGATTATTCCCCTGAATTGCGTAAGAAGTGCCGAAAGCACGGGATAGGTGCAAGAAATCAATAGGGACGCATTTGCTTTTTCCAACGATTCCATTTTTTAAATATAGGGGAAACATTGATTTCGATGGCGGTCGTTTTTTTTATATAAACACGAAAAAAAAACAACACTTGTAAAAGAGATCATTACAATATTATTACGAGAGTGATTTTTTTCATGGTGGAATTGGGCGTGAAATTTATATGATGTTTATTTCGGTTTTTTTTATTGGTTGACTTTTGACGGATATCGTAATTGAATAGGGAACAAAGTACCTATATACTCTGAAGAGAGAAAAAAACGCTCGAGGGGAACGCTTTTTTATGAATGAGTTTGTATAGAAAACTTGTTTGTTTTGATGACGAACGGGAACTATTTTTTTAGATTATTTATGTATTAGATTACCGTGCTTACCAGTGAACTTGTTGTTATGGGAAACATTTTTTTTCAGCAGTAAATCAGGTGTGTTTTATTAATGACGTGTTCAACCTGCAAGTGAAATTCAAAATAAAAAAACTAGTTTTTAT